TTTAGGGAAAGTTTCTCGGCTGGTAGTGGGGCACCTGTGTGCCGATTTTGAACGAAATCGGGGGGGGGACCCTCCATTGACCCAAAATTTTGAATTTCCCGTACAAACTTTCCTATGGGGAAAAAGTGGAATTTTCCTGCAGGACTGTGTCTGGGTAAACGAGAGCTTTCGATTGATACCCATTTTTACCACAGCACCACTTTTTTGTCCGTACAAAGGCGATTTTACGGATATTTTACGAGTCTAGGGGGCTTTACGGGCCTTAAACGTCAATGCAACGGGGACCGTTTTGGGGAAAGTTTCTCGGCTGGTGGTGGGGCACCTGTGTGCCGATTTTGAACGAAATCGGGGGGGACCCCCATTGACCCAAAATTTTGATTTTCCCGTACAAACTTTCCTATGGGGAAAAAGTGGAATTTTCCTGCAGGACTGTGTCTGGGTAAACGAGAGCTTTCGATTGATACCCATTTTTACCACAGCACCACTTTTTTGTCCGTACAAAGGCGATTATACGGATATTTTACGAGTCTAGGGGGCTTTACGGGCCTTAAACGTCAATGCAACGGGGACCGTTTTAGGGAAAGTTTCTCGGCTGGTGGTGGGGCACCTGTGTGCCGATTTTGAACGAAATCGGGGGGGACCCCCCATTGACCCAAAATTTTGATTTTCCCGTACAAACTTTCCTATGGAGAAAAAGTGGAATTTTCCTGCAGGACTGTGTCTGGGTAAACGAGAGCTTTCGATTGATACCCATTTTTACCACAGCACCACTTTTGTCCGTACAAAGGCGATTTTACGGATATTTTACGAGTCTAGGGGGCTTTACGGGCCTTAAACGTCAATGCAACGGGGACCGTTTTGGGGAAAGTTTCTCGGCTGGTGGTGGGGCACCTGTGTGCCGATTTTGAACGAAATCGGGGGGACCCCCCATTGACCCAAAATTTTGATTTTCCCGTACAAACTTTCCTATGGAGAAAAAGTGGAATTTTCCTGCAGGACTGTGTCTGGGTAAACGAGAGCTTTCGATTGATACCCATTTTTACCATAGCACCACTTTTTTGTCCGTACGAAGGCGATTTTACGGATATTTTACGAGTCTAGGGGGCTTTACGGGCCTTAAACGTCAATGCAACGGGGACCGTTTTGGGGAAAGTTTCTCGGCTGGTGGTGGGGCACCTGTGTGCCGATTTTGAACGAAATCGGGGGGGACCCCCCATTGACCCAAAATTTTGATTTTCCCGTACAAACTTTCCTATGGGGAAAAAGTGGAATTTTCCTGCAGGACTGTGTCTGGGTAAACGAGAGCTTTCGATTGATACCCATTTTTACCACAGCACCACTTTTTTGTCCGTACAAAGGCGATTATACGGATATTTTACGAGTCTAGGGGGCTTTACGGGCCTTAAACGTCAATGCAACGGGGACCGTTTTGGGGAAAGTTTCTCGGCTGGTGTTGGGGCACCTGTGTGCCGATTTTGAACGAAATCGGGGGGGACCCCCCATGGACCAAAAATTTTGATTTTCCCGTACAAACTTTCCTATGGAGAAAAAGTGGAATTTTCCTGCAGGACTGTGTCTGGGTAAACGAGAGCTTTCGATTGATACCCATTTTTACCATAGCACCACTTTTTTGTCCGTACGAAGGCGATTTTACGGATATTTTACGAGTCTAGGGGGCTTTACGGGCCTTAAACGTCAATGCAACGGGGACCGTTTTGGGGAAAGTTTCTCGGCTGGTGGTGGGGCACCTGTGTGCCGATTTTGAACGAAATCGGGGGGGACCCCCCATTGACCCAAAATTTTGATTTTCCCGTACAAACTTTCCTATGGGGAAAAAGTGGAATTTTCCTGCAGGACTGTGTCTGGGTAAACGAGAGCTTTCGATTGATACCCATTTTTACCACAGCACCACTTTTTTGTCCGTACAAAGGCGATTATACGGATATTTTACGAGTCTAGGGGGCTTTACGGGCCTTAAACGTCAATGCAACGGGGACCGTTTTGGGGAAAGTTTCTCGGCTGGTGTTGGGGCACCTGTGTGCCGATTTTGAACGAAATCGGGGGGGACCCCCCATGGACCAAAAATTTTGATTTTCCCGTACAAACTTTCCTATGGAGAAAAAGTGGAATTTTCCTGCAGGACTGTGTCTGGGTAAACGAGAGCTTTCGATTGATACCCATTTTTACCACAGCACCACTTTTTTATCCGTACAAAGGCGATTTTACGGATATTTTACGAGTCTAGGGGGCTTTACGGGCCTTAAACGTCAATGCAACGGGGACCGTTTTGGGGAAAGTTTCTCGGCTGGTGGTGGGGCACCTGTGTGCCGATTTTGAACGAAATCGGGGGGGACCCCCCATTGACCCAAAATTTTGATTTTCCCGTACAAACTTTCCTATGGGGAAAAAGTGGAATTTTCCTGCAGGACTGTGTCTGGGTAAACGAGAGCTTTCGATTGATACCCATTTTTACCATAGCACCACTTCTTTGTCCGTACAAAGGCGATTTTACGGATATTTTACGAGTCTAGGGGGCTTTACGGGCCTTAAACGTCAATGCAACGGGGACCGTTTTGGGGAAAGTTTCTCGGCTGGTGGTGGGGCACCTGTGTGCCGATTTTGAACGAAATCGGGGGGGGGGACCCCCATTGACCCAAAATTGTGATTTTCCCGTACAATCTTTCCTATGGGGAAAAAGTGGAATTTTCCTGCATGACTGTGTCTGGGTAAACGAGAGCTTTCGATTGATACCCATTTTTACCACAGCACCACTTTTTTGTCCGTACAAAGGCGATTATACGGATATTTTACGAGTCTAGGGGGCTTTACGGGCCTTAAACGTCAATGCAACGGGGACCGTTTTGGGGAAAGTTTCTCGGCTGGTGTTGGGGCACCTGTGTGCCGATTTTGAACGAAATCGGGGGGGACCCCCCATGGACCAAAAATTTTGATTTTCCCGTACAAACTTTCCTATGGAGAAAAAGTGGAATTTTCCTGCAGGACTGTGTCTGGGTAAACGAGAGCTTTCGATTGATACCCATTTTTACCACAGCACCACTTTTTTGTCCGTACAAAGGCGATTTTACGGATATTTTACGAGTCTAGGGGGCTTTACGGGCCTTAAACGTCAATGCAACGGGGACCGTTTTGGGGAAAGTTTCTCGGCTGGTGGTGGGGCACCTGTGTGCCGATTTTGAACGAAATCGGGGGGGACCCCCCATTGACCCAAAATTTTGATTTTCCCGTACAAACTTTCCTATGGGGAAAAAGTGGAATTTTCCTGCAGGACTGTGTCTGGGTAAACGAGAGCTTTCGATTGATACCCATTTTTACCATAGCACCACTTCTTTGTCCGTACAAAGGCGATTTTACGGATATTTTACGAGTCTAGGGGGCTTTACGGGCCTTAAACGTCAATGCAACGGGACCGTTTTGGGGAAAGTTTCTCGGCTGGTGGTGGGGCACCTGTGTGCCGATTTTGAACGAAATCGGGGGGACCCCCCATTGACCCAAAATTTTGATTTTCCCGTACAAACTTTCCTATGGGGAAAAAGTGGAATTTTCCTGCAGGACTGTGTCTGGGTAAACGAGAGCTTTCGATTGATACCCATTTTTACCATAGCACCACTTTTTTGTCCGTACAAAGGCGATTTTACGGATATTTTACGAGTCTAGGGGGCTTTACGGGCCTTAAACGTCAATGCAACGGGGACCGTTTTGGGGAATGTTTCTCGGCTGGTGGTGGGGCACCTGTGTGCCGATTTTGAACGAAATCGGGGGGGACCCCCCCATTGACCCAAAATTTTGATTTTCCCGTACAAGCTTTCCTATGGGAAAAAGTGAAATTTTCCTGCAGGACTGTGTCTGGGTAAACGAGAGCTTTCGATTGATACCCATTTTTACCTCTTTGTGACGTCATTTCTAGGGGAAAACGGGTCATAAAGGTTTCCCTCTACCGGGGCCTTTTTTCCCCCTACCGAATCTGTGCTGTGCTGAATCTGTGCTGAATCTGTGCCAACTTCCGTTACATAGGAAAGTAGCAGATTGTTGTCCACAGAGATTCGGTTGACACGTGGGCATGAATCGAGAATAGATAAGATCAGTTTTGCTGATAAATGGATGGATTTTCTCTTTTTTTGGAAGACAGTGCTAAAGTTAGTGTCACCTATTTTGTATGCTTTCTCAGGCTTTTGATATTGCAGCATCTATGGAGTGAATTTAACAGCAAGGTCAATCCCAGACAGATTCATCAATTCCCATAAGTCAAGCTTTTTTCTGCTGGTAAGTGCTGGGAAGTATAGAGTATGTGGCAAATACTTCCTTCAAGTATGCATTAGAGTCACCAATTATGAATGATAATGTTCACACACATCAGCTTGCAAGATAACTTTACTCATAGAATGTAGTTAATATAATCATGTAAACTTTTTATAGGTGTGTACTCATGACCTAATTGACTGAGGTGCTTGCTGTTACTGTTAAAATTTGTGCCATAGGTGCTTGAAATGATTATATTCATTGAAAAGAAGGGAGTCATGATTGCCATGTTAATATTCATGCAATTTGAATTGTTCTCAAAATAGTGTAATCAATCATGCTTATTATAGCAATAGACTAAGACAATAACTAGATTGCTATTTTTGACGGGCCGGGCCGGGCTGGGCTTGGAATATTTGCCAAGAACGGGCTACGGGCTGGGCCGGGCTCTGAACCCATGGGCCCGGGCCGGGCTGGGCTGGGGATTTTGGGGCCCGTGGCGAACACTGGTGGGGAGTCATCGCCCGTTTCCACCCTGCTCTATGACCGTGCCCCGCGCGCCGTCCCGTACAGGTGTCGCGGGCGTATCCTGTAACCCCCCAGATATCTCTCCTCACCTCTGTCGCTGTCGTACTCACCTCTGTCGCACCCCCTGCCGTACAGGTGTCGTACCGTCGTAACACTAACTCCCCCTGCCGTACAGGTGTCGTACCGCCGTGACACTAACTCCCCCTGCCGTACAGGTGTCGTACCGCCGTAACGGTCACAACGAGATTGACGAGCCGATGTTCACCCATCCGTTCATGTACAACAAGATCAAAAAGATGCCCAACCTTACCGACAAGTACTCCAAGAAACTTATCGACGAGGGCACCGTCAACGCCGACGAAGTCAAGGTCAGTGACATTCGCACGAAGGCAGAGGTCACGGGTAACACCCAGAGAGTGTATAGGCCAGCACAGGGAGATCATAGGGGTCACAGGGGGTCGTGGGGTAGGGGTCAGGGTCACTGCCAAGTAAGATATTTCTGATGGGTGGCGGCAATAAGGGGTCGCATGCACTGGCAGCCTGTCAAACCGTTTCGGTAACCACTATTTTAATCAGCTCCGTTTCGGGAGTGTTGCCGGCTGATGTGTCGCTTGGCTGGTAGTGCTAGCCTGTCCCGTTATCGTCTGTGGTAGCCACAGCATGAACAGAGGGTGCTGCTTAGCTGTTATTTCAATGTAGCATTTGAGTGTGAATGATGTTTGCAAAAAATGTTGTACGTGAAATGAAGATATGCATGTTTGTAGTTTTTGCGTAGTTCTATAGCATTTACAACTGGTAGTGGTACGACTGCTCCTCGTTGAAGCATCCAACTGATGTACGCCGTCCCACCCGTGTTCCGTTCACGGGGTGCCCACTTCCCCTGCTACTTCCTACTTCCCCTGATAGGACAGGTCCCTCCTTCCCCTCATATCCCGTCTGACGCCCCGCTCCGGGCGGGCGGGTGCTGAGTAGCCGGCCATGTCACGCTCCCGTAGCTATGTTGTTGACGCGCCGCCCCTGTCCCGCTCGCACCTGGCCAACTGACGCCGGGCCGAGCGGCTCGGCCCCCATCCCGCTCGCACCTGGCCAACTGACGCCGGGCCGTGTTGCAGCGGGTAAGGCGGACGCTGAGCGACTGGTATCAGTAAGGCGGCTCGGTGTGGGCTTTCGGCTGCTTCTGGAGCGTGTGTCACCACTGCCGCTGTTTGTGTGGGCTCATCGCCCGGCCGACCCCGTTCCATTAACGCGGCTCTGTGGGGGCTCGATGCTGCTTCCCGGTGATGTTTGACCAGTGACCACTGCCCCTGTGTGTGGGTTCACGACGCGGCCCCGTCTCAGTCAGGCGGCTCTGTGTGGGCTCGCGGCCCGGCAGGCCCCGTCTAATGCGGCCCTGTGGGGGCTCTGGGCTGCTTCCTGAACGTGTGTGACCGTTACCTCTCTGTGTGCCACTGTTCTGTACCGCCCGGTCTGGGGGACGGCTGTGGTGGTGTCTTTCTATCTCTCTGTTTCTCCGTCTCTAAAAACTGATGTGGCGTTGTCGCAGTCTGATGACATGTGCCGGAAAGATGGAGGAATGTAGTACAGGTGTGTGGTAGAGGTGGCAAAATGTGGACCCGAGGACCCGGTCCAAAGAACCAGTCTGGACCCATATGGGTCCAGACCGGTTCCTGGAAATTTTCTGACGGGTCCAACCGGGTCCTTCCATAAACTATACATCTTGCATACTACACATTATTGCAAAATATGAAGTGAAGGAAGTGAATGTTACTTTGCACACAGTAGTTCATGAGTATTCCCAGTGGGAAATAGGCTGTTTTACATGATGCAACTAATGATACTTACAAGTAGTTTGTATAAATTGACGTTTGGGGAACGGGTCCAACTGGTTCCGATTCCAACTAAGACCGGGTCCGACTGGTTCCAGAAATGTCCAGCCGGGTCTGGTTCGAGTCTGGTTCCCAAAATTTTCATCTTTTGCCACCTCTAGTGTGTGGTACAAACTTCCTCTCTCACGCCTGGCTCTGACGACCCATGCTGACTACTAACTGAACACCGACTGGTGGTTCCTTTGATATGTGAGAGATCAGATACAAACTACCGACTCCCTATTTGCCCAGCATCGCGGAGGCGCTCCTAGGAAACTCCCTTATCCATGATCGGTTTTGTTCATTGTTTCGTAATTAGTGTGTAAATATTACTTTTCTGCTTACCGTTTCTCCCACTCCTCGATATTGTATTAGTTGCTAATCCGTTTGACTCCCACCGTTCCGGGCTGACTGGCTGGTGGCTCCTGCACCGTTTCAGGACGTCCTCGACTGACGTGTTCGCTGATCCCGTTTCAGGACGTGATCGACCGGTACGAGAAGATCTGCGAGGAGGCGCTGGAGGCATCCAAGAAGGAGACGCAGATCTACAACAAGCACTGGATCGACTCGCCCTGGTCCGGATTCTTCGAGGTCAGTCCAGCATATTAGTACATAGTGCCTGGCGGACGGCGGCTCGAATCCCGCCGCAAATTACAAAGACAAGGACAAGTCTTTGCATTTTTCGTGGTTTGTAGATAAAGCGGGACCGATGTAGTTAAGAAAAAACCTAAACTGCTTTTGTGACTATTCTTTGATAAATACCTAGGATGCGTAACGCTGTGACTGTAGGGTTGGAAATCCAGTTTATTTTCATTTTGAATTAAGAATTAGGTTTTCTGACTGGAAGACGTACGGAGCGGCGACGTGGTGGTCCTGGGGCCCACCACAGGACCTTACAGAGCTGCTCGGCTACGCCTCGCCAGTGCACTATGTTTTAACTCTGGACCAAAACTGGCCAGGGCTCATAACTAAGAAACTATATGAGATACAGACGTGTTTTTGGGCTCAAACGAAACGTTGGAGACTAACGATCATTTAAAGTGCAAAATGTGTCGGATCAGATGCTTATGTACTTGTTAATGACGTCACACGTGTCACGAAACATATAAAAATATTGTCATGTTCTAGCTATGAATGCACGAACATTTAGGTATCTATAAATTTAGAATAATCGCAAGTTTTAGCAAGGCTCCTCGACGAGGCAAGTCAAGTTTGAGGACATGACCTTGTTAATTAGCGTTGATGACCTCAGGTGACCTTGAATGTTCTTATAGTTATAAGACTTATTCATATAGGACCTACAATCTTTAAATTTATTTCCAAAACATTTTTAAACGTATGTTTTGATATCAATTTGATGTTAACCCGGTCTCCACTTTAGTAAGTCCAGAGTCTTGTATGTTTTACGTCACATGACGTCAGGGGCGGATCCAGATTATCCGTTTGGGGAGGGCAAATGTTTCCGACTCATTCGGCGACCCCGACCCACCGCCGCGCCGGTGACTTTACAAAGCTTCACTACGTCTGCAATCTGCATGCGTGTAGTTCAGAAATTTCCATCTGTTATCATCATACCGACCTAAATCATGAGCAGCGAGCGGTCAGCTCCATCCCTCAGAATGGTTGTGACGGAAAGACCTGCTTTTCGTCCAGATAGGCATTGACGCCGTATTATGTTTATCATCACCAAAAGCTTTGGGAGCGGAAAAGGATAGTCTTGCCCACACGACTCAGCTATGGGGAGGGCAAATACCCACTATGCCTCTCACTGGATCCGCCATTGCATGACGTGAAATGGTAGAATGTATCCCAAAACTTCTTACCAATTCCTATTGTATGGTGCGTTATTGTAACATGCAACGTGCACGTAAAAGCACTTCATTGCCATACTAACTGACGCTTACTGCAGCAAACGGATACTTTTTCATAAATGTGGACAGCACTAATGATACCATACCACCTACGTCGAACGTATTAATACTGACTGAAGAGGCCGATGGTAACCCTGCCGATCATCGTGATCAGCGATGCGTGCTGTGGCCGGTCTCATACAGTCACTTTCCAGTTCACAGTCCCATCGCAAACTGGGCACAATGAATATTTTATTGCGCTCCATCAGGTACTAAGATATGTTTATAAACTATCAAGCAAGCATGTGTAGCGACCATACAGCTCCAGAGCCCATCTATGAATTTCCTGCAATAGCCATGGAGTGGAAAGTTCCTGTTATAGACCTATAGGTACTATTTACACCGATAATGCTGTTGATATTTAAGAAATGTATACCTATTTCATAGGAATGCTAGCAGTTTTTGAATGAACAACTGTCATTCACCGACATTGTCCGGTCTCCGGTTCCGGAGACCCTTTGTTTTCTTCTCGCGACACATGAAAATGCAACTGGCACGTGTCGTGGGGGGTCGTGCCGTCAGCTGATAACGCCCCAGGGTACGGCAGGTCGCACACAGGTCGGCGACCTTCCATTGGCCACCAACTCGTCACAATAGACGAGAGAATGAACGAGGAGTACTAGCATTTTCCCTTAACGCACGCTAGAGCCCGTCCCATGGCTCAGCAGGAACAGACATGACTCATTCAAAAAAGTGTTCACCCCCAACACCGGCGCACTCAGGCGCAGCTGAAATTTTGAGGACATGTAGACAACTCCTTGACCTACAGTGTGGTGGTAGTCTGAGACCGTACACTAGCGTACAATTTTTTGTAGCTCTAAAAGAACATTTACATTTTTCAAAAAAGTGTGCCAATGTAAGGGCTAACCAAAATTAATAAATGTAACACCTATATGCATTATAATTATATAAATTATGACTCATTACAAAGCCAAAAGGTCGCGCTATCGTTTGGTACCCAAATTATATAGTTTTGTCAATCCAAAGCTCGAAGATGTTGACGTGAAGCAAAGCGACTGTTTCTGCGTTTGTTCGCCGAAGTTTAGCTGTTGAGAGTTGTCTGACTTTGTTGTACATTTTCAACCTTTTTAAAAGTAAAGAGAATAAAAGCTTCCGTCGTTATAGATGCTCTGATCATTTTTGAACACGATAGTGGCCAAATGGAAACGTTTAAAAATAGTCGATATTTCGCGTCCTGGCCAGTTTTTGGCCAGAGTTAAAACACGGTGCAGTGGGGTGGAGGGAGCAACAACAACCTCTGGTGACGTCCTATCCCCTCACACAGGGCAAGGACCCGCTGAAGATGTCCGACACGGGGGTGAAGGAGGAGACACTGTGCTTGTGTCTGTCTGTAACTGTGTTTGTTTGTGTCTGTCTGTTACCCGTGTTTGTCTGTGTTTGTATGTCTCTCAGGGTAAGGACCCTCTGAAGATGTCCGACACGGGCGTCAAGGAGGAGACGCTGTGTCTGTGTCTGACTGTGGCCTGTGTTTGTGTCTGTGTGTCTCAGGGTAAGGACCCGCTGAAGATGTCCGACACGGGCGTCAAGGAGGAGACGCTCACCCACATTGGCAAGAGGGTCTCATCGGCGCCGCCCAACGCCGTCGACTTCGTCATCCACCGTGGACTCCAGGTGGGTCCAGTGGGGTCCGGGATCCGCCTCGCGTGGGTCCGGGATCCGCCTCTGGTGGGTCCGGGATCCGCCTCCGGTGGGTCCGGGATCCGCCTCCGGTGGGGCAGACAGTGGGCGCCGAGCTGTGGCTGGGACACGGCGCGGAGTGGGCGACCAATGGGCGGAAAACCCTGCTATTTATGACGCAGGTTGAGACTAGTGAGACATTGCTGATAGTATCAACTCGTTTGCCTCTGCTTCACATCAAATGGCTTGTAATTTTTCCTTGGTTCAATGTTATTTGACCAGTTAAGCGTCTGAGTGCAAGTTTGTTGTTCAAACAGATACGAACGCAAATTAGTAACGACACCGACCTGGTCCTAGACAAAAATCAACAGCTTCCAACAGCTCACACAGTGAACACACCCCTCTGTCTGCTGTTCAGCGCGTGCTCAACTCCCGTATGGAGATGGTGGAGTCCCTCCTGTCTCACACACCGCTCGTCTCTCTATTGTTCAGCGCGTGCTCAACTCGCGTATGGAGATGGTGGAGTCCCCCCCCCCCCGTCTTACACCATTCTCTGTTGTTCAGCGCGTGCTCAACTCCCGTATGGAGATGGTGGAGTCCCCCTGTCTCACACCCCTTGTCTCTCTATTGTTCAGCGCGTGCTCAACTCCCGTATGGAGACGGTGGAGTCCCTCCTGTCTCACACACCCCTCGTCTCTCTGCTGTACAGCGCGTGCTCAACTCCCGTATGGAGATGGTGGAGTCCCCCCTGTCTCACACACCCCTCGTCTCTCTGCTGTACAGCGCGTGCTCAACTCCCATATGGAGATGGTGGAGTCCCTCCCTGTCTCACCCATCATTCTCTGCTGTACAGCGCGTGCTCAACTCCCGTATGGAGATGATGGAGTCCCCCCTGTCTCACACACCCTCTGTCTGCTGTACAGCGCGTGCTCAACTCCCGTATGGAGATGGTGGAGTCCCCCCTGTCTCACACACCCCTCGTCTCTCTGCTGTACAGCGCGTGCTCAACTCCCATATGGAGATGGTGGAGTCCCTCCCTGTCTCACCCATCATTCTCTGCTGTACAGCGCGTGCTCAACTCCCGTATGGAGATGGTGGAGTCCCCCCTGTCTCACACACCCTCTGTCTGCTGTACAGCGCGTGCTCAACTCCCGTATGGAGATGGTGGAGTCCCTCCTGTCTCACACACCCCTCGTCTCTCTATGGTTCAGCGCGTGCTCAACTCGCGTATGGAGATGGTGGAGTCCCTCCCTGTCTCACACCCCCCTCGCTCTCTGCTGTACAGCGCGTGCTCAACTCGCGTATGGAGATGGTGGAGTCCCCCCCCCCGTCTTACACCATTCTCTGTTGTTCAGCGCGTGCTCAACTCCCGTATGGAGATGGTGGAGTCCCCCTGTCTCACACCCCTTGTCTCTCTATTGTTCAGCGCGTGCTCAACTCCCGTATGGAGACGGTGGAGTCCCTCCTGTCTCACACACCCCTCGTCTCTCTGCTGTACAGCGCGTGCTCAACTCCCGTATGGAGATGGTGGAGTCCCCCCTGTCTCACACACCCCTCGTCTCTCTGCTGTACAGCGCGTGCTCAACTCCCATATGGAGATGGTGGAGTCCCTCCCTGTCTCACCCATCATTCTCTGCTGTACAGCGCGTGCTCAACTCCCGTATGGAGATGATGGAGTCCCCCCTCCCCCTCTCACACACCCCTCGTCTCTCTATGGTTCAGCGCGTGCTCAACTCGCGTATGGAGATGGTGGAGTCCCTCCCTGTCTCACACCCCCCTCGCTCTCTGCTGTACAGCGCGTGCTCAACTCCCGTATGGAGATGGTGGAGTCCCTCCTGTATCACACCTCTCTGTCTGCTATACAGCGCGTGCTCAACTCCCGTATGGAGATGGTGGAGTCCCTCCCCCTGTCTCACACACCCCTCGTCTCTCTGCTGTACAGCGCGTGCTCAACTCCCATATGGAGATGGTGGAGTCCCTCCCTGTCTCACCCATCATTCTCTGCTGTACAGCGCGTGCTCAACTCCCGTATGGAGATGATGGAGTCCCCCCTCCCCCTCTCACACACCCCTCGTCTCTCTATGGTTCAGCGCGTGCTCAACTCGCGTATGGAGATGGTGGAGTCCCTCCCTGTCTCACACCCCCCTCGCTCTCTGCTGTACAGCGCGTGCTCAACTCCCGTATGGAGATGGTGGAGTCCCTCCTGTATCACACCTCTCTGTCTGCTATACAGCGCGTGCTCAACTCCCGTATGGAGATGGTGGAGTCCCTCCCCCTGTCTCACACACCCCTCGTCTCTCTATGGTTCAGCGCGTGCTCAACTCGCGTATGGAGATGGTGGAGTCCCTCCCTGTCTCACACCCCCCTCGCTCTCTGCTGTACAGCGCGTGCTCAACTCCCGTATGGAGATGGTGGAGTCCCTCCTGTATCACACCTCTCTGTCTGCTATACAGCGCGTGCTCAACTCCCGTATGGAGATGGTGGAGTCCCTCCCCCTGTCTCACACACCCCTCGTCTCTCTGTTGTTCAGCGCGTGCTCAACTCGCGTATGGAGATGGTGGAGTCGCGCACGGTGGACTGGGCGCTGGCTGAAGCCATGGCGTTCGGCTCCCTGCTCAAGGAGGGCTACCACGTCCGGCTGTCCGGACAGGACGTCGAGCGGGGCACCTTCAGGTGAGGGGAGGGGGAGAGAGAGAGAGAGAGAGAGAGAGAGAGAGAGAGAGAGAGAGAGAGAGAGAGAGAGAGAGAGAGAGAGAGAGAGAGAGAGAGATCCGTCCCTGGTGACTCGCAGTGACCTGTACGCCCATTCTAGTGACTCCAGTGAGCTGTGTGTCTGCTGCTCTAACCCCAGTGACCTGTTGGTCCGCCCTAATGACCTGTCCCGTTGACCTTGCTCACTGTGTGTTGTCCGTGTCACAGCCACCGTCACCACGTGATGACCCGTGTGTTACAGTCACCGTCACCACGTGATGACCCGTGTGTTACAGCCACCGTCACCACGTGATGACCCGTGTGTTACAGCCACCGTCACCACGTGATGACCCGTGTTACTGTCCGTGTGTTACAGTCACCGTCACCACGTGATGCACCATCAGAAGGTGGACATGGCCACCTACCGGCCGCTCTGCTACCTGTACCCCGACCAGGCCCAGTACACCGTCTGCAACTCGTCACTCTCAGAGTTCGGAGTGCTCGGTGAGTGAACAACTCCGCTTCACTCGAGAGTGACTCAGTGAGCATCAGTGATCATCGACCTTCAAGTTATTTGTCAGTTTGGGATACGTACAACGTTTGAATTTCAAGAGAATTTATTCGGGAATTGTTGACAGTGCATCAGTCATCAACCACCGCTCTGTGTGTATGACGCCGCCACCGGTCCGTTCCAGGGTTCGAGCTGGGATTCAGTCTGACCAACCCGAACGCGCTCATCTGCTGGGAGGCCCAGTTCGGAGACTTCTGTAACACGGCCCAGGTGGGGACAGTGTGTCTGTAACACGGCCCAGGGACAGTGTGTCTGTAACACGGCCCAGGGACGGTGTGTCTGTAACACGGCCCAGGGACAGTGTGTCTGTAACACGGCCCAGGTGGGGACGGTGTGTCTGTAACACGGCCCAGGTGGGGACGGTGTGTCTGTAACACGGCCCAGGTGGGGACGGTGTGTCTGTAACACGGCCCAGGTGGGGACAGTGTGTCTGTAACACGGCCCAGGTGGGGACGGTGTGTCTATAACACGGCCCACTGCTGGGGACAGTGTGTCTGTAACACGGCCCAGGTGGGGACAGTGTGTCTGTAACACGGCCCAGGTGGGGACGGTGTGTCTGTAACACGGCCCACTGCTGGGGACAGTGTGTCTGTAACACGGCCCAGGTGGGGACAGTGTGTCTGTAACACGGCCCAGGTGGGGACGGTGTGTCTGTAACACGGCCCACTGCTGGGGACAGTGTGTCTGTAACACGGCCCAGGTGGGGACAGTGTGTCTGTAACACGGCCCAGGTGGGGACAGTTGTGTGTCTGTAACAGGCCCAGGTGGGGACAGTGTGTCTGTAACACGGCCCAGGTGGGGACGGTGTGTCTATAACACGGCCCACTGCTGGGGACAGTGTGTCTGTAACACGGCCCAGGTGGGGACAGTGTGTCTGTAACACGGCCCAGGTGGGGACGGTGTGTCTGTAACACGGCCCAGGGACAGTGTGTCTGTAACACGGCCCAGGTGGGGACGGTGTGTCTGTAACACGGCCCAGGGACAGTGTGTCTGTAACACGGCCCAGGGACGGTGTGTCTGTAACACGGCCCAGGGACAGTGTGTCTGTAACACGGCCCAGGTGGGGACGGTGTGTCTGTAACACGGCCCAGGTGGGGACAGTGTGTCTGTAACACGGCCCAGGTGGGGACGGTGTGTCTATAACACGGCCCACTGCTGGGGACAGTGTGTCTGTAACAGGACAGTGTGTCTGTAACACGGCCCAGGTGGGGACGGTGTGCCGACGGCGCCGGTCCGAAGCCCGCCGCCGCCGGATAGTGATGGCGGCGGGGACTGCGGGCGTTTGTGGGAAACGAACGATGGGGAGGAGGGAGGCAAAAGGCATCGTACGCCTTTTAAAACGTGGTCGAATTAGTGTTCGTTAGATAAAACGCACTGTCTGGTGCATGTTACTCGGGCAGATGAGTTACCCTCGCTGACGTCTCCAAATAGTCTCAAATCGTCGCAGAGCAGCTCCGTGTGTGATGTGTAATATTGTGTCTTCATCACCAGAGGGTGATAATGGCTTCTGGTCACGCCAGTCTTATTGGGTATGTCGAGTCCACTGACTGTGTGATCTGTATGTTACAGGTGATTATCGACCAGTTCATCTCGTCCGGCCAGGCCAAGTGGGTCCGACAGTCGGGTCTGACGCTGCTGCTGCCGCATGGCATGGAGGGAATGGTGAGTCATAACTCAGACACAGACACACAGACAGACAGACGACAGTAGGGTCTGACTCTGCTGCTACCCCACGGCATGGAGGGAATGGTCAGTTTTAATTCAGACGCAGACATTTACAGACAGACAGACAGACCAGACAGACGACAGTCGGGTCTGACTCTGCTGCTGCCGCACGGCATGGAGGGAATGGTAAGTCATAACTCAAACAGACCTCAAACAGACAGACAGATACAGACAGACAACAGTCGGGTCTGACGCTGCTGCTGCCGCACGGCATGGAAGGAATGGTGAGTTACAACTCAAACAGACCTCAAACAGACAGACAGATACAGACAGACAGACAGACATACAGACAGTCGGGTCTGACGCTGCTGCTGCCGCACGGCATGGAGGGAATGGTAAGTCATAACTCAGACATACAGACATTTACAGACAGACAGACAGACGACAGTCGGGTCTGACTCTGCTGCTGCCGCACGGCATGGAGGGAATGGTAAGTCATAACTCAGTCACAGATAGACAGACAGACACGAAACGGACTGTGTAAAGCTCATCTGTCGTTGACAAATTCAGTTGGCAGTCCTATGCCATGGTTTACCGGTTGTTCTGATCTGATATTATGGTATCTCTGACTGCTCTTTGGGAAATTTTATCTCAATGAAAGGCCCGATTTGTGCTTACCAATGTGACGAGAACCAACCCCGCTATTTACACAGACCTTTGATATGATGATCAGGGAGCCGAGCATACATTTAGCGCATCTAGAGCGGCCTCTTAAGATGAGGACCTGAGACATGACCTCTGACCTGACCTCTGTGACAGGGTCCGGAGCACAGCTCGGCCCGCCTGGAGCGGTTCCTGTGACCGCTGACCTCTGACCTGACCTCTGTGACAGGGCCCGGAGCACAGTTCGGCCCGCCTGGAGCGGTTCCTGCAGCTCTGCTCGGAGGATCCGGAGTACTTCCCGCCCTTCGCCGCTGACGAGTTCGCCATCCGCCAGCTCTCCGAGTGCAACATGATCGTGAGTGGAACTCGCCAACTCAGTGAGATAAGAGTTTTACAGTGTTAATGGGTAAAGTACTATGATGACTGCAGTTCGGATCAATAGTAGGTAGGATAGGTGCAAGAGTAGATAACCGACATTAAAAGGCTGTGATATATTGCCATTTTGTGTGCCTCTCTTTCGAATAAAGTGCATCCATCGCTTTATCTAGTTATTTAGCTCTCCTCGCCCCGCCGTCTAAAACTGTGCGTCTGTACCGTCTGACGTGGCTGTGTTTCCGCCCTCCGCCGCCAGGTGGCCAACTGCAGCGTGCCCAGCAACTACTACCACATCCTGTGGCGGTTTTTGATACTATAGTTTGGTATTCTGTCCGCCAGGTGGCCAACTGCAGCGTGCCCAGCAACTACTACCACATTCTGCGGCGCCAGGTGCACATGCCCTTCCGCAAGCCGCTGATCCTGATGACGCCCAAGTCGCTGCTGAGGCACCCGCGCGCACAGAGCAGCTTCGACGACATGGTCGAGGGCACAGAGTTCAAACGGTCAGTATAACAGGACGGGCACAGAGTTCAAACGGTCAGTACAGGACGGGCACAGAGTTCAAACGGTCAGTGGGGGACGGGCACAGAGTTCAAACGGTCAGTATAACAGGATGGGCACAGAGTTCAAACGGTCAGTATAACAGGACGGGCACAGAGTTCAAACGGTCAGTACAGGACGGGCACAGAGTTCAAACAGTCAGTGGGGCACAGAGTTCAAACGGTCAGTATAACAGGACGGGCACAGAGTTCAAACGGTCAGTACAGGACGGGCACAGAGTTCAAACGGTCAGTGGGGGACGGGCACAGAGTTCAAACGGTCAGTATAACAGGATGGGCACAGAGTTCAAACGGTCAGTATAACAGGACGGGCACAGAGTTCAAACGGTCAGTACAGGGGAACAGAGTTCAAACGGTCAGTACAGGGGAACAGAGTTCAAACAGTCAGTACAGGGACACATAGTTCAAACGGTTAGTGGGGGACGGGCACAGAGTTCAAACGGTCAGTACAGGACGGGCACAGAGTTCAAACGGTCAGTACAGGGGCACAGAGTTCAAACGGTCAGTACAGGGGCTCAGAGTGTAAACGGTCAGTGGGGGGGGGGGGGGGGGGCGCACAGAGTTCAAACGGTTAGTGATTATTGAATAACCTATGTCAGACGGATCGAATCGTCAGCGAGGAAACAATAACTTTTAAGCAGTGTGTAGATGGAGCGAAGTCAAACAGTCGACGGGACCCGAGTGTAGCTGATAGCGCCCCTCTGGCTAGGTGAGGTGCCAGAATGATAACGTTGGCGTGATTCTTTCGAGGACATGGGGCTCTAGCGCAGTTAAATTTGCCCTGTGTGGGGCGTGTTCCGTATGGAGTCACACGTGAATGGCAGTGGTCGAGGTGTCTCCCCGACGGAGGGTCACTGTACGGCCCGAAATTCAGTCGCCCGTCTAACCTCACCGTCTCTCTGCGTTGGTGTCCTGCTGACCAGTCGCCTATCTGACCTCCCCTGTTACCACAGTGTCCTGCCAGATATGGCTGCTGCCGGCCAGTCCCCTATCTGACGTCCCTTTCCTTCTCTCTACATTAGTGTCCTGCCAGATACGGCTGCGGCCGGCCAGTCGCCATCGGGTGTGCGGCGCGTCATCTTCTGCAGCGGAAAGGTCTACTACGACCTGGAAAAGGCGCGGGAGGACCGCGGACTGCAGGACCAAGTGGCCATCGTCCGCGTGGAACAGGTGGGGGACGGGAGGATATGGGGGGGGGGGCGGACTGCAGGACCAAGTGGCCATCGTCCGCGTTGAACAGGTGGGAGACGGGAGGGTAGAGTGGCTTGGCGAGGGGAGAGTCACTGGGAGGGGAGTCACTGAGCGAGGGGAGTCACTGGGCCTGAATGGCTCTGAGAGGGGACGGAAGGCGGCCCCTGGGTCACCGCCGCGACGTCGCGGCACAGGTCCTGGGTCGCCGGGTGAATGGTGTCGGAGTTGTGGAATGGTGGGTGACTGGTGGACTGTAGACTGATAGCCTCGGGGTGCGTGACAGTCGCGAGGATCCTGCAAGGAGCGGAGCGGAGGGCTTTTGTCTCCGCTATGCGATGTAAGACTGATTAAATTATCTACATCAATGGCATTGCCGTGCCGCGATTCCTGTTCGCGATATTTGTAATCTCCTCCGTGTCTGACCCCGTTTGACCCTTGTCTAACCCGCACTCCTCCCTATGTGTCTGATTCCTCTCTCCCTCTCCCCAGCTGTCTCCGTTCCCATTTGACGCGGTGAAGCAGCAGCTGGACTTGTACCCGTCCTCTGACCCCTCTGACCCCTCTGACCCCCTCTGACCCCCCTCTGACCCCTCTGACCCCCTCTGACCCCCCTCTGACCCCTCTGACCCCTCCCGGCAGCTGTCTCCGTTCCCATTTGACGCGGTGAAGCAGCAGCTGGACCTGTACCCGGCCTCTGACCCCCCTCTGACCCCCCTCCCCCCTCTCGTCAGCTGTCTCCGTTCCCATTTGATGAGGTGAAGCAGCAGCTGGACCTGTACCCGGCCGACGCCGACATCGTCTGGGCCCAGGAGGAGGCCAAGAACAACGGCGCCTGGGCCTTCGTCGAGCCGCGCTTCGAGACCACCGCCGCCAAGGCCAAGGTCATCAGGTCAGTAAACAGACGGCGGGGTCAAGGTCATCAAGTCAATTAACAGACGGAGAGGTCGTCAGGACAGTATACAAAGGCCGAAGTCATCAGGTCAGTAGTTGCAGAGGTCATCAGGTCAGTAGGTATATGAGTATACAGAGGTCATCAGGGCAGTGCACAGAAGTCAAGCTCAACAGGTCAATAGACAAAGGACAAGGTCATGAGTGGGTAAACTCAGGTCAAGATTATCAGGCCAGTGACAGTCGTGGTCAATGGTCATCATGTTGCATCAGGTCAGACGTCATTAATCGCCAAGGTAATCAGGTAACTAGGACCGACCAATAGGTGATCGGTGAGTGACCTTTGAGATCATTCGATCAGTAGCAGTGGAGGACAAGGTTACAGGTCAGGAGATAATAAGGCCAATGTTGAAGAGCCGCCACAATTGAATGGTCAGCGAAGTTTCAACTCGCCTAGCGAACTGTAGCATTATTGACCTTTGAAATCGCGTCTCCTTTCATCCTCAGTTTGGGCTAAGTGCGTCTGAAAAGGGGTGGATAAACTTTCGACATAAATAAATGTTTGTTTTTCTTTACATGTTTTGATATTTCCAGTCCGCCTGCATGGTTGGTAGTAATGTATGTCGTTCCCTCCTGTGTGTTCCACTGTTGGCAGTTACAGCACCCCACCCCTGTAACATAGCTCCTCCCCGCCGGAACCTTTCCAGTACCGACACTCGAGCCGAGCGCTCTCGATTTCCATGTGAATACGATTAAAAGGAGAGCCTGCTTCATTCACAAAACGTACACCTTTAACAATTTGATGTTAACCAGAGTAGTTAGAGAAGTCTTATTGAGCTTTATCGCAGATTATTTTGGACGTGGTACACCATCCGGGCACTGATCCCCCGTTCCGGGCCCTCGTTCCTGTCCCGGCAGCCGGTCCGAGAGTGAGCGCGCGCCCCGCGGCGCCGAACCCCCGTCTGCCACCCCCGACTCGTGGCTGGGCCGCCTCCTCCGCCTGGTCAGGGCCGGGCCGCCGCCCCAGCCGGCGCCCAAAGCCGGGCCGCCGCCCCAGCCGGCGTCCAAAGCCGAGCTGCCGCCCGATGTCGCGAACACGCACTCCAAAAACGTCAGGCGAATTCGGTGAGAATGCTGTTTGCATGTTCGAGTTTCGGACTTGCCCTATTTGGGTACGGCTCATATAAGATACTCGGGTGCCGGCTCCTGAACACTTTTTATTTCACCGAAAAGGTGCAAAATTTCAGTGCTTACCTGATGTCACAATATGGTTCCTTTTTCACATAAGAGGCTGAGTGGTGAAACCGAAACATCTTTTTTTCTAGTCGCTATTGCTTTTTCTAGAGGCTCGGCACGAAGGCGTCGTTTTTCCATTTCGGTCGGTGAGCTGTCACGCTCTGAAATATGTCGGGCATATCAGTCTCCTCTCCCGGTTAGCTGGGTGTAATACCATCCGGCTGGGTGCCGGCCTTTATTTATGCGTCTCCATCGTCACTATCCCGGCTGTCCGTCGTCAGGTCCATCGCGCGGCTCACTCACTGCTCTGCAGCCTGCACTCCTCCGCACGTTACAAGAGGTCTTTGTATTCAACTTGTCTGAACTTACCTACCTTGTCTCTATGTTTGTAATGGAGACGGAAGAACCAGCATCAACTAGTCACATTTTAGCGGGATTAATCGCGCACCTATCCACCTCTCGGGTCGGGCGGTTATTTTTCTGCACTCTCCCTGATCGTATCAGACATTCTTTCACCTCCCATTCCGTCCCCGCCAGCCTCCCCTCCCCCTCGTCCTATCCTGACCCTCCCCTCCCCCGGTTTCCTGCTGACCCCCGTGAACCCTCCCTCCCCCTCCCCCGCAGGTACGTGGGCCGCAACTGCTCGGCCTTCCCCAGCCCCCTCCGACTCCCCTCCCTTCCCAGTTTTCATCTGACTCCCCTCCCCTCCCCGGCCCTGTCTGACTCCCCTCCCCTCCCCACAGGTACGTGGGCCGCAGCTGCTCGGCCTCTCCGGCCACGGGCAGCAAAACGGCCCACACCAAGGAGCTGAACGCCCTCCTCAATGAGGCGTTCGACCTATAGTGGGTGCCAGAGCGGGGCGCTGCTCCGCCGGCCGCCGGCCGGGCGTCTGTAGTCGCACCGCACAGCGTCGGCGGCCAGGGGGACGCGCCTAGAGCCCCCGGCGCCTATAGGTGAATTCGTAGACCCCGAGTGTACATTTTAGTCGCTGCCGTCAAGTAATGGAGGCGTATTGTCCCTGAAATCGTGTGTGAAATGAAGGGAAGGCTTCAATACCATTGGCTACTTTTAAAATGACTATTGAATAGTGTTTTGCAAGATTTTAACGTGAGTAAAATGGTGCGGTTGTGACCATCTATCCCCTGCGTGGGAGAGAGGATTGAGGGGTGGAAGAGAGTACGGTAGAACCCCTGTGAGGAGAGTTTAGAGAGCGCCTGCCTGTGCGTGTGTGGTGTCGCCGACCTGTGAGCCTCGGGAGTCGCCGGATGGTCTGCAGGCCGAGAGAGAGTCGCCGGCTGTTTTGATTTGCTGGGATTGCCGTGAGTGGCCGGGGTGCGTCTGATCGCTCAGTTGTTCGTGAGGGGTTGTTTCTGACTGCTGAGTTGTTTGAGAGTCGCTGGGTTGTTTCTGAGTTCTGACTGTTGAGTTGTTTGAGAGCCGCCGGGCTGTGGTGGTTCTAACAGCAGTCTGGGTCTGAGCCGCCGGGTTTTCTGCGAGTGGCTGCGAGTGTCCTAGTCCAGCCGTGGCTCTGTTGTGACGGTTGGTCTGTGGCGCTGACGGTCTGTCTGATATGATGATGGTCTGTCTGTCTGGCTGCTCTGCTGTTCGACCGCGCCCGTGCTGGGCCGGACGCTGAGAGCTCGTGTGTCTGTGTGGTTGTGGGTGGGTGGGTGGGTGTGACGTCACCTGATGACGTCACCGGTCGGCGACGAGCGCCCCTCGAACAAGCCGAGGCCAAAGAGGGGTACGGCCGCCGCGGCCCGGCGCGGTGTGGGGAGGCGCGGTGTACAGAACTACAGGCCGTCGGGACTGGGAGGCCGGTGTACAGAGCTGCAGGCCGTCGAAGCTGAGAGGCCGGTGTACAGAGCTGAAGGTGAGCTGAGCGGAAAGGCCGTGCGGTGTATTTATTGAACTGCTGTGTGCGGCGGCGGCAGGCGGGAATATCGGCCCTGCCGCCGCCGCCGGCACTGCGACTTTATTGTAAATACAGAGACAGAGAGAGACTGACGACGAGTTTCAGAGGGAGAGAGGAGGTAGTGAAGAAGGGGTATAATCGGGGAAAAATGGAAATGAAGCCCAAAAACAACAAAGGAAGATCTGGCACCATCTAACTGAGCTCTCCCACCAAATTCGTCGTCCATACAATATGCGACGCATCAATAGACACAAATGCATTGTGCAGCATTTATCGGCTGTCACATTGCATTCATACATGCAAAGCAATGTAACAGGCAGCCGTCATAGCACTAGGCATTTCCTATTTCCCGAACTAGCGCATCCGGCTGGGCGCATCAGATGCGCCTGAATCGGCCCATCATGAGGATGTGCCGCCGCCGGAAATATTACTACCTACTCACCCGGTGGGTAATACGTGCTCTAAATAAGATTTATATGATTTTCTTGCAACGCTAGACATTTTCCACCAGTTTATCGTACGTGCTTGGTAAAAAATCATATAAATATCTTGCAACGCTGGACATTTTTTACCAGCTTATCTACCAGTTACAGGCGTACAGCGTGTATTTGGCGAAGCTCGCCGGTCGACTGCCGTGATTTGGTTCCGAGCCGCCGGCAGTTATTATGGCTGTCTGCGGTCTCCGTGCTGGAGACCGCAGACAGCTGTCTCGTAACGTGACGTCATCTCTGCGCCAGTCCGATCGTCCCGCCAGAGACCTTTTCCTCCTCCCTTCACCCAGTCCCACCGAGCCCCAGCCAGAGGGACCGTTAGCCTGCCAGATCACCGAACCACCGGTCACGGTGACCGTTCATTACCCGCTCTGACCCTTCCCGAACTCCACTGATGAGCTCGGGCCACAGGGTCCGCAAACAGTACCCCTCTGCCCGGCGCGGCGGCTGCCCCCTCCCCTGTGTCCCTCCCCCCCCCCCCCCGACCTGCGCGGCGACTGCCCTCCCCTCCCCCCCCCCCTCCGACCGACGCGGCGCCGCTGTCCCCTGGCACCCTGCCTGGTGTGCGCTGTCGCCTGTCTCCCCTCCCGCCCCCCTCCCCGTATGGCCTCCCACCCCCGGACCTGGCGCAGCGGAAGAAAACAGCGCCGGAGCGGCGGTGGCCGGCCCCACCGCGGCGCGGCCGCAAAGGCCGGTTACTGTTCTGTTCGGGAACTGGGGTCGCTGCCAGAGAGACGCTGTCGGGCCGAGCGCGGTAAGAGATGATATTCCCTTTAGTTGTGACCAGGGCTGCAGAATCGATTGACCAGGGCTGCAGAGTCAAAAACTGACTCCGACTCCGACTCCGGCGGTCGGTACAGCCCTATTTGGCCGCTCCCCGCCCGGCACGAGGCCTGGTCCGTCCGCCTGCACTGCTCCCGGCGCGCACGGCGGTCACGCCCGCAGACCTGGCATAGCTACGGAGTCGATGGATATTCGGTGACTCAGACACCGAATATGGCTTCGGTTTCCATAATCGACTCCGACTCCGACCTCCGTCAGAACTATCGACTCCGACCGACTCCGACTCCGCAGCCCTGGTTGTGACCAACGAATACCCGTGACACAAACATTTATTTTATTTATCGCAGCTGTTGAGTAGTTGATTTTAAGGAAAATCGCAATTGTGATCTGTACTATAAACGGACTTGCATGAGTTGACATGGTCGTGGGTGTTATTTCATCCTTAATTTTGCTGTTTTACCTACCTACACTCGTTCAAGTTTTATTGCTGATCGGCTGTCGCAATGAGCGCTGCGATTAGCATTTCATTCCGACCTACACCTTGACCTAACACGATTAAGTGAGTTAGTAGAATATTGTATTGAGTTCGACATGTTACCTTACCAGTAAAACGCCTTTTGGGCGAAGAACGAGCGAGCGAAATAGTGAGCCCTGCACGTGCAGAAGGGCGAGAGGGTACTTCCAACGGGCTTGTGCAAAGCACCCTTCTAGCCGGTCGCTAGCGGTGTACCAAATTTGAACGCAATCGGCCAAGCCGTTCCTGAGATCTGGAAGCGGCATTCTACACGTGCGCACGTGCAAACGGGGTCCAAAATGACTTTTGCACGGCACCCTTCTAGCCGGTCGCTAGCGGTGTACCAAATTTGAGCGCAATCGGCCCAGCCGTTCTCGAGATCTGGAAACGCCCCCTGCACGTGCGCACGTGCAGTAGCACCCTAACCGAAACACATGGGAATGCATTGCCTGGTGGGTGACTACCTGTATGCCAAGTTTCAGCGAAATCGCCCCAGTAATTACCGAGTTACTGAAATGGGAACAAATTTGGCACCTCTTATTGTTGTATTTTGCACGTGCAGTGGGGGTCACTCACATAGATGAAGAGTATCCGACCTTTGGTAGAAGGGATGCAGCTACCCTATAAAAATGACCGCAAGACAATCGCTCAAGCCGCTGCTGAGATATGGGCCTCTCAAAATCATTACTTTTGCAAAACTGCTTGAACACCCTTGACTTTTCACGTGGCACGTGCCACGGCGGTCACTGAGATGTATCAAAAGTAGTCAATTACGGGGTAGAAGGGATGGGGCTACCCAGCAAAAAAGACCGCAGGCCATTCGGTCCAGCGGTTGCTGAGATATAAGCCTCTCAAAAGCGTTACAGGCCGGGCCGGGCCGGGCCGGGCCGGGCCGGGCCGGGCCGGGCCGCTCATACTGAGATTTTTCCGTTATATTGAAAAGACTTCGCTTCGCTCGCTGCGCTCGCTCGCTCGTAAACATTAAACATCAATGGTAACGTCACTATCACCTCACACAGAGCATTTACCTACACAAAACATAGTGCAGTGTGTCTTTTACACACATAATGTAGGCATCCTTACGGCTACACTAAAAGGCTACGACAAATATAAATGAAATGTGTTAGGTAAAGCTTTCAGCCGGTAGAGCGATGCGCCTGAATCAGTCAATCCCGAAATGACTTGCGAATAAAAGGACAATTTACGCATCAAGCTCCCGTTGCCTTAGGTACATACAATTGTACATAATATTTGCATTTTGCACACAAAGCAGTTGCGACTTGTAGGGTAGCCTGGGGCAAGACGCCCCAGATAATTTATTTTGCTACATAACTTTTATTCCACATAACCTGGAAGGCCAAATTTGTGCTCAGTGCGTTCTTTGGACATTTTACTTTAAATTCCACCCCTCAAATTCATTCACTTATGATCGGACTCCCAGCTAGGAAGTGGTTTGTGAAGCAACTGCAAATAGGGCGTTTTGCCCCAACCCCAGGGCAAAACGCCCCACGGCCTGGGGCAAGAAGCCCCATACTCTAGATTAAAGATTAAACATGCTAGTTGACTAAATCTTATATGAAAGGTCCGTTGGACCTTGGGAGGCATGGCACTGAAGTTAGCACCTTCCATCCTATCAGGTGTTCAGTTACGACACTATTGTATGAGCAGGTTTTTCACCTGCCTCATAAGGCCAAATAATAAATTATTGCAATGCAAATGTTAACAAAATACTTCCTTTGCCATCCAGTTGCTGAGAAAAGTACATATAAATGCATAGAAACATACCGTTCGCCAGCTACCGAACGTTAGGAAGTGGGTAGTCCGAACAACACATGAGGTAAAACGCCCCATGGGGCTTTTTGCCCCGCGACCTACTGGGGCGTTTTACCCCATCACGTAGTTCGGTCAGAGAACAACGCCTTGCACTCCAGGAAGACATAATTTAACACGAACCAACCCGGCATTGTAAGCGTTAGACAACAGTTTTTCAAAATACATAAAAGTCGTTAACCTGATGTGGACGATAAAAGAACGCCATGATGCATAATCTGACAACAAAACATAAAAATCACTCCAAAAACACATTTTTGGCTATATCTCCCTAAAGAGTCATCACAATTTATTTCCAGTCTGCTCATATAATGATCGTATAGTGCACGTTTTATAGAAGAGAGGATGTTTCCCCAGAACCTTGCCAGTTCCGAGAAACATCGGTGAGGCGTTTTACCTCGGCGGGGCGACTTGCCCCGGTCTACCCTATGCATATTGCATATGCAGCACCGAGCACGCTTACTGATAACGCGCTTAAATAATGGAGAAAACATTGATAATTGAGCAATTTTGCAGTATGTATCTACCCTTGCTGTGTTACTCTACGATATGGTTCATAACTAGGGCGTTCCTTGGACCAGTCATCAAAGTTGTATCCAGTTGGTGGCTAATTACAGTATCGGACTAGCGTCTAGAAGTTGAGCTTTCAGACGGTTCTTTAACCCTATTAGTGGCAGGCTCCTGGTTACCCCTATTAGTGGCAGGGGGGGGGGGGCTGTTTACGACCCCCCTTGATATCTCGAGATCTAGCGGGCCGATTTTCAAAATTCAAACGACATTCGATTTCGCTCAACGTGATCTACATTTCTAAAAAATAAAAATTAAAAAATGTCGATAGGGGGGTAGAGGGGGGCAAAAATGGGCAAATTGCAGATACATTTTAGACTGTTTATCACGGCCAGGTTTCTGAACCAATCTTAGCGCAACTTTTGCCGATCGATAGAGAATGAACCAAGAATTCACATGGATCCTAAAAATATGCAATTTCAAAAATCATAGGCGGATACAGATCATTGAGATTGGGGGTACACAAAAAGTATAGTAAATAAGGTTTTTGTTGGTACTGTTTCTAAAAAGGGTGGTAATGGTCTTGTTGTGTTACAATTTTCTTATGAGAGAACGACTACAATTGTATTGGTCATGCATAGGCGGTGTCAGGGCACCTATGTTGGGAGGTAAAACATAACCCCCCTTTTTGGACACCTGGATCCGCCTATTATAGCAAAAACGTGTCAAAAGAGGATGCACAATAACTTTGTATATGTTATCACATGATATCTTTCATTCGCTGTTCGTAAAACTGGTACAGCATCGTGATCTTCGCCCAAATGACACGCTTCACGAATAGCACCCCCAATTCCAAGTGCTCTGGAGCCGCCCCTGGTAAAGTTATGAACTTGAATTTTTCAGGGAATGTGCCCAATTTAGTTTTAGGAAAAGTCAGAAAATTTCAGCATCGTAGCTTCAGCGGTTTCGGAGATATTCCCGAAAAACCTGAGGGGTGGATAAAAACAACCACCCCCTGCCACTAATAGGGTTAAGCCCCGCGGCCCGCGCACACCCGATGGCGAGGTGCACCACACACAAACTAAAGCCGAACGAAGCACTGTCGAAAATGGTATGCACGCCACACATTGTTAAAAATTCACACACAAGTGAAGCAGCCAGCCCGGTTCGGAGAGGGACCATTCGCGCCCAGCCCCGATCGCCGCCTGAATTAAAACGCACGACCGATTGACGGTACAGATGCCGGGTGATGTGACAGTGGCACAGTGTGATGTGACAGTCGGCTGTCAGTCTGCGCTGACTGACCGTTCCGCCGGTATTCTGTGTTAGCCGGCTCGCCGCTGGTCCACAGCGGTCTATACGATCAGGCAGCAGGTGATGGAAGTCCACTGCTTCTGCAGCGTGTCGATGGAGACGGCCGTGATTCCCAGCGGCTGCGGCAGCTGGGGGCACTGGAACGGCCAGCTGGAACATAAATATAACTGTCAGCAGCTGAAACGGACAGCTGGGGGCACTGAAACGGCCAGCTGGAACATAACAACCGAGCTGTCAGTTTCAGTTGGAACGGACAGCTAGAATAGTAACAGAGCTGCCAGCTCCAGCTGCGGGCACTGGAACGGCCAGCTGGAATGTACATAACTGTCAGCTGCTGGACAGCTGCTGGACAGCTGGAATAGTAGCACACCTGCTAGCGGTGGAAGCGGACACAGCCGCAGAGCAGTGGTCCCAGAACCCGGGCTAGTAGAACCATGAGCAGCCAGTGATTGCAGTCCTACGCGTGCCGCGATAGAAACAAGCTTATAGCTGAGGAACTCCTTGTCTATCCAAGTCACCAACAGAAAGAATCGTTTCAGGGACTCTACCCGTTCGTGTCTGAGAAATGTAACAACAGTTGCGCGGCAGTGTTGACCCAATTGGCCGTGCCGCTGACGGAGCTCTGGTACTGACGGAGCTCTGGTACTTCTCCGGCTCGATGTACTGACCCACCTGGCCGTGCCGCTGACGGAGCTCTGGTACTTCTCCGGCTCGCTGTACTGACGGGGCTCTGGTACTTTTCCGGCTCGCTGTACTGACCCACCTGGCGGTGTCGCTGACGGAGCTCTGGTACTGACAGAGCTCTGGTACTTCTCCGGCTCGCTGTACTGACGGAGATCTGGTACTTCTCCGGCTCGCTGTACTGACGGAGCTCTGGTACTTCTCCGGCTCGCTGTACTGACCCACCTGGCCGTGTCGCTGACGGAGATCTGGTACTTCTCTGGCTCGCTGTACTGACGGAGCTCTGGTACTTCTCCGGCTCGCTGTACTGACCCACCTGGCGGTGTCGCTGACGGAGCTCTGGTACTTCTCCGGCTCGCTGTACTGACGGAGCTCTGGTACTTCTCCGGCTCGCTGTACTGACGGAGCTCTGGTACTTCTCCGGCTCGCTGTACTGACCCACCTGGCGGTGTCGCTGACGGAGCTCTGGTACTGACGGGGCTCTGCTACTTCTCTGGCTCGATGTACTGACCCACCTGGCCGTGTCGCTGACGGAGCTCTGGTACTTCTCCGGCTCGCTGTACTGACGGAGCTCTGGTACTTCTCCGGCTCGCTGTACTGACCCACCTGGCCGTGCCGCTGACGGAGCTCTGGTACTTCTCCGGCTCGCTGTACTGACGGGGCTCTGGTACTTCTCCGGCTCGCTGTACTGACCCACCTGGCGGTGTCGCTGACGGAGCTCTGGTACTGACAGAGCTCTGGTACTTCTCCGGCTCGCTGTACTGACGGAGATCTGGTACTTCTCCGGCTCGCTGTACTGACGGAGATCTGGTACTTCTCCGGCTCGCTGTACTGACGGAGCTCTGGTACTTCTCCGGCTCGCTGTACTGACCCACCTGGCCGTGTCGCTGACGGAGATCTGGTACTTCTCTGGCTCGCTGTACTGACGGAGCTCTGGTACTTCTCCGGCTCGCTGTACTGACCCACCTGGCGGTGTCGCTGACGGAGCTCTGGTACTTCTCCGGCTCGCTGTACTGACGGAGCTCTGGTACTTCTCCGGCTCGCTGTACTGACGGAGCTCTGGTACTTCTCCGGCTCGCTGTACTGACCCACCTGGCGGTGTCGCTGACGGAGCTCTGGTACTGACGGGGCTCTGCTACTTCTCTGGCTCGATGTACTGACCCACCTGGCCGTGTCGCTGACGGAGCTCTGGTACTTCTCCGGCTCGCTGTACTGACGGGGCTCTGGTAGGTACTTCTCCGGCTCGCTGACCCACCTGGCCGTGTCGCTGACGGGGCTCTGGTACTTCTCCGGCTCGGTGATGGTCACCGTCTCACAGCCGACCGGGCCGATGGTGTGGGGCTCCTCGACCGGGGCGCACACGATCCCCGGCCGGGGCAGGTACTGGCCGATAGAGGTGGAGACGGCCACCAGCAGCTGGCCCGGGCCGCACTGGTACTCGGGCTGTGGGGATAGGGATGGGTACTGGTACTGGCCGATAGAGGTGGACACGGCCACCAGCAGCTGCCCTGGGCCGCACTGGTACCTACTCGGGCTGCGGAATAGGGACGGGTACTGGTACTCAATCTGCGGGGACACGTATTATACTCTGTCTGTAGGGGTACCGGGACAGGTACTCGTATCAGGACAGGTACTGAAAGGTACATACACTGTCTGCAGATTGTACAGCGTGCATGGGTGGAGAATGTTTGAAAAAGTTACCCCGGCCGGCGACCGATAGTCGCGGGAAGACGATATACTCACGTTGTTCTCAACGGTCATCATCAAACCCCTATTCTGACGCATGGAATAGGATGCTGTGTTTGTTCAAGGATGAGCGTTGAATCCGACACCGTAGTTTTTTCAGTTCGCGCCGGCAGCAAGTGCAGCAGCGAAAGGGTGAAGCCGCAGGAAGAAGAAGCAGCAAGCGTTCGAGATACGGCACCGGCAAAGCGTTCCATAGGGCTACATCTGACTGACGGAAAGCCGGCTCGGAGCTACCGTTGGATTGAAGGTGTGGTCCGGCGCTGCCCTTGCCGTCTACCTACCAACCGGCGTGACCGGTCACCCTTCCTACGCCAAATTCTCCCTCTTTCTCCTTCAATTCAGATCCAATTATCCACCACCCAGCCGGGATACCTAACGGTGATACCTCCACGCTTGGGGCCTAAGAACCTGACTTCGGTCGGGTTCGTCAAGCCAGGGCGTAACAGGCTGCGTCTTCTATGAGCAGCTGGAGCTTAACGAACGGCTTTCCAAAACTCACTATCTCTCATCAACCTACCGACCTTGAAATTGCCAAATACAACCACTAAAATTACATCTGTTTAATTTTCTATTCTTTTTTTGCGCCTGATTCTCCACTCTACAAATAACTCTAACAGACATGGACTCATACACCACCACAACACAAGACATCGAACTGCACCACCTCGGCTCCTACGTCGTCGGCCAATACACGGACCCCCGGCTGAATATGGCCAAGGAGTCCGCATTCAAAATAAATCGCACACTCACAGACATCACAAAAAGCACTACGCTACGCATCACACCCCAGCACAAATGCATCCTCATCAAGACATCCAACGAGACACAGACAAAAGCACTTCTGTCCACCACCACCTTCGCCAATCACGACGCATCCTTCACACTACACCGCACCCTCAACACGACCCGAGCCACTATCCGCACGAACCCGCTAGACACACCACTAGCAGTCATCGGAGACGAGTTGGCGTCCCAGGGCGTCAGCTCAATTCGTCGACTGGCTTCCACCCACCACTACACCATCCTGCAACTCACCTTTAACACCACGATCCTACCTCCTCACGTTACACTACAACACTGCCGATACAGCACACGTCTTCACGCGCCACTGCCCCTTCGCTGCAAGAAGTGTCAGCGCTACGGTCACGGAGAACGTGCTTGCACCTCCCGTACTGCACGCTGTGCACGTTGTGGCGAGGGGCATCCGTCAGAGGGGTGCACTCGTCCCTTCCGATGCGCTGCCTGTGACGGATCGCACCCGGTCACTGACTCCAAATGCCCTAAGTGGCTATTTGAGCGGGAAGTGACCAGGTACGCGGCGAGCATGCATGTACCACCAGCCCTTTCACGCACCCTGGTCTCCAAGGCACCACCAGTACATCTAGCCGAAACATTTAAACACGCAAACGTAACAGGAAGCACCTACGCCTCAGTCGCTTCACGCACCAACGCAAAACTCCAGCCACTAGCACAGCACCCACCGAGCTGTCGCCGACCTGCCCTCATCCCAACACCACCTCACCCACCTCGCTGGATCCCCACCAGGGATCTTTCCTACACCGCCCTATCCGCCTCACCCCAGACCGCCACAGGGATGGAGAGTGCCCGGTCCGCTGCCGGGACCCCCGTTCTTGAGGCGGGACTTCCCGCTCCTACCTCCACCTCCACACTGTATACCTCCCACCCACCCTAACCAGCCTCCGCCCACCCGACCCAAGCCTCCAACCCGCACCACTGCAACCTCCACAAGCCCCCCACCAATCACCCAGACCGTCTCCACTTCCACAGACCCTCCTCCTCCACCCACTCTGCGGTCTGTTTACACGCAGACTGACCCTGATTCCCATCCATGCTCTCAGAGCAGCTCCAGCCTATACATCACTCCCTCCAACCCCTCAACCCGATCATCCGCTTCGAACCCAAGTTCAGGCCCAGCCTCAAACACACGGATTCCTCGTCCCATCTCGCCTCCAAAACACGTCCGCTCACGCTCTTTATCTCCCGTTCAGCGAAACATCGAATCCCTCCACCAACCTCTTCCCTCCCCTCTCATGACACGCGCCTACCGCAAACGAAAGGCGAGGGATCTGGCTGACCAATCCAACCCTACTCCAGTCTCGCACTATGTGTCAGAGACTACTCATATCAACCGCGCAGTTCCCTCTAAATGACGCACTTGCTACAATGGAACACACGCGGGCTACTTACGAAGTGGCCGGAGTTCAAAGGTGAAATTCTCCGAACGAACCCGGTCCTGGCTGCACTCCAAGAGACCCATTTTCGAGATTCAGACCAATGGTTTAAAATCCCAGGGTACACTTGGCATACACATAACGTTAACGAACAAAACAGACGAGAAGGAGCGGCCATCCTCATAGCCAACAGTGTCCCGCACAATAGAGTAGCTATCAACACACCACTCAATTGCGTTGCTATACGTTTAAGGATAGGCTACACACAAGTCACCACACTGTCAATATACATACCACCTTCCCAAGCCAACCCGACACCACAGGAGCTGGATGACTTAATCAGCCAGCTCCCAGCACCCTTACTTCTCATGGGCGACGTCAATGCACAACACCCAGCATGGGGAAGCCCATGCAGCGACTCCCGCGGTAACACCATCGAAGCAGCCATAAACAAACACAACCTTACAGTACTCAACACAGGCGAAGGCACCAGGCTTAACCTAAGGGGCATCGACCGAGCCATAGACCTAACGTGCTGCACAAGTTCAATCCATCACCTATTTGATTGGGCAATATCGTCAGACCCAGGGCCCAGTGACCACTACAAAATTAAACTTACACTTAGTCCGAGGTCAATTCGCCACGTTAAAACCTTTACTCCAGGCTGGAATTTAAAAAGGGCTGACTGGTCGAAATTTGAGGAAATGGTGAACCTCTCACTGGGTGACACAGATCATCCAGACATTTCAGTAATTCTAAGAGCCATCGGCTCCGCAGCACAAGCCAGTGTGCCCAAAAGTAAGCAACCACCCAAAAAGGCATCAGCGCCATGGTGGACTCCAGCCTGCAGCCAAGCAGTAGCAATCAGGAAAAGAGCACTAAAACAATTTAAACGTTGCATATGCGAGGCTCACCGCCTAGCGTACAAACAAGCTGCTGCATCTTGCAAAACTATCTTTAAAACAGAGCGCACTAACTCTTGGCAATCATTTGCATCCAAATTCAATCGCTTCACACCAACAGCAAAAATCTGGAAGCTTCTTAAAGCTTTCCACCTCAAACGCGCACCCCCAGGGCCATTCCCTTCGCTTAAAGTAAGAGGGCAGGAAATTACTGACCCAGAGCAAGTCATGATGGAATTTGCGAAACATTACCATTCAGTGTCAGCTAACAGCTCATACCCACCACAACTCAGGTCACGACTAGGAAATCTTGCCAATAGCTGCGACTTCACCTCCAACAACTACGAAATTTATAACAAACCATTTACACTACACGAGTTATCACATGCCATCAGCAAGTGCGGAAACACGTCGGTTGGGCCGGACGACATACATTACGAATTTTTCCGACGCCTCAGTAAACAATCATTAACGTACCTCTTAGCGGCCATTAATAACCTCTTCATAAACCACTCGTACCCGACCTCTTGGCGGGAAAGCACCATCATACCAATTCCAAAACCAAACAAAGACAAGCAACATCCCAGTGGCTATCGCCCCATCTCACTCACTAGCTGCGCCAGTAAGGTAGTCGAGCGCATGGTCAACACACGCCTCATACACCACCTGGAAACATATGACCTGCTCGACGAACACCAATGCGGCTTCAGGCGCGGGAAGTCGACAACAGACAACATCATTAGACTCATCTCAGACATTAGCACAGGATTTTATCGCAAACGGACAACAGTAGCAGTATTTCTAGATATCACAGCAGCTTTCGATCGAGTACAAAAACCGGCAATTATTTACAAGCTTCACCAACTAGGACTGCGCGGACACCTTGCTCACTTCATCATCAACTTTCTTGCGGACCGAACCTTCCAAGCTAGGTGCAGCACAACACTCTCACCAGCAACATCTCAGGATCAAGGTCTCCCTCAAGGTAGTGTACTATCACCAACGCTCTTCCTTATTATGATCAACGACATGTTCACCACGGCAAAGTACTATGTAAAATACTCACTTTTTGCGGACGACGTGGCCATTTGGGCTACACACCACGACCTCTTCAAGGTCGAAAAAGACGTCCAACTTGGCCTGAACAAAATTGCATTATGGTGCAAAGAATGGGGCTTCACCATATCAACCGAGAAGTCCGCCTCTGTAACCTTCACTAGAAACCGGAAAACCACTAACACTAGGTTAAACCTTAACGGCAAAGCAGTTAAGGAAGCCAAAGATTTCAAATTCTTAGGAGTCCGCATAGATCGAAATTTAACATTTTCTAAGCACATCAAAGACATCAAAAACAAGTGCGCAAAGCGCATGAACCTCCTCCGTGCGCTCACAGGCACAGACTGGGGCGGCGACCGAAAAACCATTTTGCAACTATACAAGGCCATCATCAGACCCATTTTAGAGTACTGCAGTATAGCTTATCACGGAAGCCTAACAGATCACCAGATAAAACAAATAGAAGCCATCCAGAACACATGTCTGCGCATTGCAACCGGGGCCATACCCAGTACACGAAACACGACACTTCTGGCCGACGTCAACATGTTGAATTGCCAGGAAAGACGTATGCAACAACTTTGCCGATATGCCATTAATGTTAAAACAACTCCGAACCACCCAGTGCAACACTGCTTCCGGCCGATAAGCAGACTCGGATGTCATAGACATTCCCGATTACGACACCCATCACTAAATGATCAGTTGAGCACCTGCTTATCTAAACTGCAATTTACTTTACCGGATCTGGCACCCAGGCCTCGAGCAAAACCCTTCTGGCTAAAGGCACCACCCAAAATCGAATATCTTTTCTCTGGAAACAAATCAGACATCACACCAACAGAAATGCAGTCGAAATTTAACGAATACAAAGCACAGCGCCCAAACAAAACATTCATGTACACTGACGGCTCAAAACAGGAACACAAAGTAGCTTTTGCACTGACGACTCCGCACTTTGAATTAAGCAGACGTTTACCGGATAACTTCTCCATTTTCACAGCTGAGGCCATGGCCCTCTTATTCGCCGTCAAATTATGTACCCATGAAAAGCTTAGTAACGTAGTAATCTGCACCGACTCAAAATCAGTCTTACAAGCCCTGAGTAACACACAAGCCCAACACATTTCATCATTTCTCGCATTCAAAATTCTATCCCTGAAAAACGAAACATTAAATTTCTTTGGATTCCTGGACATGCTTCTATCTCTGGAAACGAAAAGGCAGACAAACTAGCAAAGCAAGCATTGCATCTAGCAGAACCACTTGCAATACAGTACCCGGCAGACGACTGCAAGGCCATCCTCGAACTCCACATACAACAACTACGACAAACGACATGGGACGAGATAGGACCAGCACACATGTACTCAATCAAACCCCGATTAGGCTTCTGGGCGACCTCAAAACAAAACACAAGGCAAAAGGAAGTAATGCTCACCAGACTTAGAACCGGACGCACCAGACTCAACGCACCATGGCTAGAACCACAACAATATAACATTTGTGCCTTCTGCAATGTCAACACAGTGCCTACAGTTCAACACATCCTGCTAGAGTGCTCTAACTTCAACCTCCACCGACAACACATTATTGCCTTCTGTCGGCAGGAGAACGTAACGTTGAGCTTAGATCAGCTTTTAGGTGACAGACACCCAGAGCTATTAGCACTTCTCTTCAGATATTTACAAGACACTAAGCTAACAGGAGCACTCTAAAGCACACATCAACGAACAGTTAAGTGCCGTGCCCAACATCCCAACAGTTGACTTAGCGGTAATCACACTCGAGAATTCTCCTGGCTCCGCCGTGCGCTGGTCCAAGCTTGGTGCCAGTTACGCCGGCTGACACCCATTACACCACTCAACCGTGCGCTGGTCCAAGCTTGGTGCTAGATACGCCGGCTGATATTCACTACACCATTCAGCCGGGCGCTAGTCCAAGCTTGGTGCCAGTTACGCCGGCCGACATTCACCACACCACTCAGCCGTGCGCTGGTCCAAGCTTGGTGCCAGTCACGCGCAGACAGGAGAGATTCAAAATTAAGAGAGGCCAACTGGTCTTCACCTCTTCAAAGTTGTTAAATGGCCATGCAGTCTTGTCCTTCAGACAATAATTATTTAGGCCCATGCACCACCCGGCATTGTAGGGTGAACGCGACACCCGGCGTGAGAGGGGGTGTGGGGATTGCCTCCTAACCCGCACGATAAAGAACCCATGGTGTAGTTCGTGAAGAGTAGGCCATGTGCCGGCACCATGGCAAAATTAATCCCAAATCGAATTTATTGTCTTGATGGAGGACAAAGTGGCATCTTAACAACCCTTTAAAGTAACTATAACGTAAAACTTATTCTAATAGTAGGTAAAGTAAGTCCCAGGATCCCACTCACCTCCCAAGAAAGCCACAACGCGTTACCGAGCACTTTAAAGGTCAAAATTTTAGAACTCACACACTTAATTAAAGTAAATAAGCACTTGCAATATCAAAATTCTAGCAATTCGATATTTTTCTAGCAAACAGATTCTTTACAGGCGGCCGAATGTCCAATGGACAGGGACGCCTTAAAACCTCATTTTCACTCACTCACTTATTCAAAACATTTTTGGAATGATCGAAAAGGCAATTTCCTTTTAAATTATTAATTCTTTTTACTTAAACTTCCAATTTCACACCGAACCCAAACCAAACCATATGCCATTTTGAGTACCTAAATGTTGCGTTTTCAGCTTTTTATTGTGTCTCAAAATAGCTACAAAAAGACAACTCACCATAGTAGAAGCTTTACAGAGAAATTGACAGATCGAACCATAGCAAAGCACTACAATAGGTCACTGACATCCACGGGCGTAGCCTTTTTCAATGTTGGATGGCTCTTATAATACAAACATGGAGTCGATCCAGGAATATCGACCGGTCCCGGTCTCGTAGCTCAGTTGCTAGAGCGTTGGATTCCGCGTGGCGAGAGCACGCGGCCCGGTTACAACAGTCCGAGTTCGAAGCATGATGGCCGCTCGGTGTTTATGAGCACCCTGACGGGTGCGCTCATAAACGGGTGTGGTTGCGGTTGGTGGCAGGTCAGTCGAAGGCAATGAGGTTAAGCAGTGGTTTTAAAAAAGTGCGCCGAAGGCGCGACAAAATTTCGAAACTGAACAGGATGTGAGAGCAATCTTGGCATTGGCGACCACACGCGGGTCTTAGGGTTGGAGATTATGGCAAGTTAAGTAAATGGTAAATACCTACCTGATTTGCAATATTACGCCCATGGAAGTCAACATTCGAAGAGCGTGAGTTTTCTTTTCTCGTATGGAGACAGCTTTTAGGATTTACAAGAGTAGAAAAGTTACCCCGGCCGCGCCGGGGTAGGCTGAAAGTTACCCCGGCCACGGCCGGGGTGGCCGGGGCAGGTTCTCCACCCATGACAGCGTGACAGCACTGCTGGCGGCTCAACAGAAAAAAAAAACTCACTGACACACAGACATGAATATTAATGGGTAGCGATCGTAAGATCGAGAGACGAGAGACCTGGGAGCAGGGTTAGACCGGCACCCCTTAGCAGAGCGTGTAAAATAGTAGGCCCACCGAGCTCACCTTTCCTTGTTCAAATGGGATGAGAGGCGTCTCCGCCCCGATGACCAGGTCTGGGTGGCCGACAAACTGCGCGCAGTTCACCTGGTCCAGGGTCTGCAACAACGCCGCTGTCACTGAGGTCCGTGAAGTAGCAATGATGTCGCGAGTCAAGTAACTGACGAACTGCGCATTGCTCCGTACTCGTCCATGAATAACAGTAGGTACAACAATCTTCACACAGTCTTGGTAGGTATATATGCAAATTCTATGTTATTTTTGTGACGGCAGTGCTGCGAAGCAGCCCTCATTATTAACCCTCGCCGGCACGGGGGGTTGATGCAATCATCAATCATCAAAGACATCATCTCTGATCAAAACTAACACGATATTCGTGATCAGCACCCGGGAAAACCACATAGCAGCCACGCTTTACGACTTTCTAACAGGTCCCGATTTTCCCGGTTTTCGGGTCATTGACCTGACCTGGAAGGTCACCCGATGACCTAGGACCCTTAAATTGGGTATCATCTTCCTCTCGTGACGGGCAACACGCTCGTTTTTTCTGCGAAGCTCTAGCTCGATCAGGGGCCAAACGCGAGGGGGGTCTACGAACCCCCCCCCCTTGTGCCGTCGAAGGACGCAAAATGGCCTGTGCCGGCGAGGGTGAATGCCTTATCATATAATAAATATTTCTATTATGTGTCTATAAATAGCAGCTCTAGAGACCATTATTATAAACTAAAATGCCGGTAAATCTAAACTTTTGCCTGAACTTCTACCAGCTTCGACCAGGATATCGGAAAACATTTCAAACGTTATCCCACGCTGTTCACTTTTGTTAAGGAAGTTTATTGCCGTTTTTTTCGTAGGAGAACGTCACGAGCAAAGTGCTGCATTGCACTCTTAAAATGATATATTGGCAAGTGTTGGTCATATCTCCTTCCCTCTCCGTTCCTATCGTGTTCGCTCCTCCCTTTCCCTGGCCACGACTCGTTTCGTTCTTCTCCACTCCTGCTCCCCGGGCTGTGTGTCTCCCCACAGACCTCCCAGGGCGTTTGGGCCGCCGTGGCGGGTCGTGTCTACCCCCCCCTCCCACAGACCTGCCAGGGCGTTTGGGCCGCCGTGGCGGGTCGTGTCTACCCCCTCCCCCTCCCACAGACCTGCCAGGGCGTTTGTGCCGCCGTGGTTGGTCCTGTCACCCCCCCCCCCTCCCCCTGACCTGCCAGGGCGTTTGAGCCGCCGTGGCGGGGTCGTCCTTCAGCCCCACCAGCGCCATCGGCCTGGACTCGTCACCGGAGCAGTTGAGCAGGGCGGCGCCGAATACCGAGACGTTCCGCTGCACGTAGACGACCTCCGCGGCTGGCGGGGACAGGTGGGACAGCAGTGACAGCAGTGACAGCAGTGACTCGGGGCTGCGGCGGCGGGTGGTGGGTGACTCGGGGCTGCGGCGGTGGGTGGTGGGCAGTGACTCGGGGCTGCGGCGGCGGGTGGTGAAACAGCAGTGACTCGGGGCTGCGGCGGTGGGATACGTGGGACAGCAGTGACTCGGGGTTGCGGCGGTGGGTGGTGGGACAGCAGTGACTCGGGGCTGCGGCGGTGGGTGGTGGGACAGCAGTGACTCGGGGCTGCGGCGGTGGGTGGTGGGACAGCACTAGCAGTGACTCGGGGCTGCGGCGGTGGGACAGGTGGGACAGCAGTGACTCGGGGCTGCGGCGGTGGGTGGTGGGACAGCAGTAACTCGGGGCTGCGGCGGTGGGTGGTGGGACAGCAGTAACTCGGGGCTGCGGCGGTGGGTGGTGGGACAGCAGTGACTCGGGGCTGCGGCGGTGGGTGGTGGGACAGCAGTGACTCGGGGCTGCGGCGGTGGGACAGGTGGGACAGCAGTGACTCGGGGCTGCGGCGGTGGGTGGTGGGACAGCACTAGCAGTGACTCGGGGCTGCGGCGGTGGGACAGGTGGGACAGCAGTGACTCGGGGCTGCGGCGGTGGGTGGTGGGACAGCAGTAACTCGGGGCTGCGGCGGTGGGTGGTGGGAGCAGTAACTCGGGGCTGCGGCGGTGGGTGGTGGGACAGCAGTAACTCGGGGCTGCGGCGGTGGGTGGTGGGACAGCAGTAACTCGGGGCTGCGGCGGTGGGTGGTGGGAGCAGTAACTCGGGGCTGCGGCGGTGGGTGGTGGGACAGCAGTAACTCGGGGCTGCGGCGGTGGGTGGTGGGACAGCAGTAACTCGGGGCTGCGGCGGTGGGTGGTGGGACAGCAGTAACTCGGGGCTGCGGCGGTGGGTGGTGGGACAGCAGTAACTCGGGGCTGCGGCGGTGGGTGGTGGGACAGCAGTAACTCGGGGCTGCGGCGGTGGGTGGTGGGACAGCAGTAACTCGGGGCTGCGGCGGTGGGTGGTGGGACAGCAGTAACTCGGGGCTGCGGCGGTGGGTGGTGGGAGCAGTAACTCGGGGCTGCGGCGGTGGGTGGTGGGACAGCAGTGACTCGGGGCTGCCGCGGTGGGTGGTGGGACAGCAGTGACTCGGGGCTGCGGCGGTGGGTGGTGGGACAGCAGTGACTCGGGGCTGCCGCGGTGGGTGGTGGGACAGTGACTCGGGGCTGCAGCGGGGACAGGTGGGACAGCAGTGACTCGGGGCTGCGGCGGTGGGTGGTGGGACAGCAGTGACTCGGGGCTGCGGCGGTGGGACAGATGGGACAGCAGTGACTCGGGGCTGCGGCGGTGGGTGGTGGAACAGCAGTGACTCGGGGCTGCGGCGGTGGGTGGTGGAACAGCAGTGACTCGGGGCTGCAGTAGTGGGTGGTCGGACAGCAGTGACTCGGGGCTGCGGCGGTGGGTGGTGGGAGCAGTGACTCGGGGCTGCGGCGGTGGGTGGTCGGACAGCAGTGACTCGGGGCTGCGGCGGTGGGTGGTGGGACAGCAGTGACTCGGGACTGCGGCGGTGGGTGGTGGGACAGCAGTGACTCGGGGCTGCGGCGGTGGGTGGTGGGACAGCAGTTAGTCGGGGCTGCGGCGGTGGGTGGTGGGACAGTAGTGACTCGGGGCTGCGGCGGTGGGTGGTGGGACAGCAGTGACTCGGGGCTGCGGCGGTGGGTGGTGGGACACTGGGGCTGTGAGCTGCAGTGGCGGATGGCCGCCAGTAAACTGGGCTGCAGTGGTGGCTCTATACAGTTGGAACTTTGACCGTTTAGAAAGTCTGCAACGACGCACGATGCCGTCAATTGAAGGATCTTGGGAAATGCTGATTGAGTTTAGGCTGGGTGGATCGACCGAAACCACTAACACCAGGTCAACGTTGCTTACCTGTCACTGGTTTGTGCTTGTCATTACCTATCATGCCTTTTTATGATCACCACCTGTTTGTGGTGTGGTGTTAATGACAGTCGACAGATAGTTTATAGCTCGTGGCCAAAACAGCAGTCATTGTGGTCTGGTCAGTACTCAAGTTGTGGCAGTTGTCAGCTTGTGTTATGTTTAACCGCGTGTTTTTGCGTGTGTTATGTTGTGTTAGTTGTTTCGTGTTTGTGTTGTTTGTGGCAATTGTGACAGCCTCGTTTGCGGTGTTTGTGACAGCTCTTTCTATGGTGTTTGTAAGTTGTAACAGCTGTTTCTGTTGCATTTGCGACAGTTGTTTGTGCGTTGTTTGTGACAGATGATAGTGTCAGACAGATGATAGTGATGATAGTGATAGTGCTGTGACAGATGATAGTCGTCAGACCTACCTGCCGGCCGGTCCGTGGTGGAAGTGACGGCTGTTTGTGAACCGGTCGCCGTATGTCTCGATTCGGAAGTCACCGGTTGGATGTCGCCCGTCATCATCACGCCCTCTGTCGCCGACTGTGTGCTGTCAGAGGTCCCCTCTGTCGCCGACTGTGTGCTGTCAGAGGTCCCCTCTGTCGCCGACTGTGTGCTGTCAGAGGTCCCCTCTGTCGCCGACTGTGTGCTGTCAGAGGTCCCCTCTGTCGCCGACTGTGTGCTGTCAGAGGTCCCCTCTGTCGCCGACTGTGTGCTGTCAGAGGTCCCCGCGGCGATACCCTGGGCGGGGGCAGTCTCCTCAGCCGCCATTGGAGCTACCAGCGTTGTCTTCTGATCGGTGGACATGCCTGCTGTAGCCAGTTGGTCGGTGAATGGTTCACCCATTAGCGGTTCTGAGGTGGATGTTGGTTCAGCAGTCGTCAGCTGATTGGTCGATATGTCGTCTGTGTTTTGACCGCTGACGGGATCCCCCATCATCCCGCCATTGGAATAGAGCGTCTCTGTGAACAGAGCCTGTTCGGTGGTCGTACCGTCCCCGGTACCTCCGCTGGTGGAGGTATCCACTGCTGGCAGCTGATTGGTGGATGGGGCGGCTGTCGTCTCCTGGCTGGCCGATGACCCAACTGCCGTTTCCTGATTGGGGGATTCTGCTCCAGCTGCCAGCTGATTGGTGGATGGGTCGGATGCGGTCTGCTGAGCGGTGAATGTTGTCGGCGTTGCAGATGTTGCAGTCGTCGTGGTCTGTTGAGTTGAGCTTCTCGCAGTTGCAGCTGTTGCCTGCCGAGTTGTGGACGCTGCAGTTGCTATCTCCTGAGTTGTGGTGACGTCTGCCGCCTGTTCATTGGGGGAACTCCATGGTGCAATGGTAAAGTCGCCTCCATTTTCTGTTCCAAATGGATCGTATCCTGGAATAAAGTGACAATGGTCAACGCACGAGGTATTTTGAATTGATGATATAAGCTATCAGCATGTTAACATACAGCATTCGAGTCACCACGACAGAAGTGAATGGTAACTATGTCTTTGGGCTTCAAGACAGTGTACATTACTTAGAATGATGCTACAGGATGTGGACTGTGGAGCCAGGTCATTGCTTCTGTCCATACGCTGTAGCTGGGGGATTGCTGTCTCCTTACCGCATGCCGCCCGGCTGTTCTGTCCTACTGGTACTGTGCGGCGCCGGCGGTTTATTTACCGCACGCTGCTCTGTTCTGCTGGTACTGCCCGGCGATTTATTTGCTCATGTTGTTTTGTTCTGCTGGTACTCGTACTTACATACCTACTGTACTGCAGTGTTAACGCTATACCTCACGGCTTAGGACGGCAAATGTCTCGGTCTCCTTACTGCATGATGTTCGCTTTTGCTGATGCCTTCCGGAGCCGCACGCTGTCCGGTTTTACTGGTGCTGCGCGACGGAGTTCGTCTTACCGCGCGTTGTCCGGTTGCACTGTACAGCGGAGTTGCTCTTACCGCACGTTGTCCTGTTATGCCGGTGCTGTCCGAAGGGACAGTGGCACGTGTTGTACAGGCAGACGGCCTCCGACGCCATCACTCGACACTCCCAGTCATCCAGACACCAGTCGCCCAGGTAGGCTGAAATCGCAGTAGATAAAATAAAAATCCATCCTAAATCAGCCAATGGATGCATTCAGCTGTGTTGTTGTGGAAAATAGCAGCATTCTAGCCCCCCCCCCATTTCATGTAGATTGTCGGAAATATGCGTGTAGCTAAGCGTCAGCCGTCAAGCGAAGGCTTCTCACTGCCGAATTATAGGCAAGAAGAATATATTGTCGTATCGAACGTAGTCACGAGCTGACTACACAATAAAAATATCGATTTTCTTATCCGAAGGTAAAGTCAGGCTCAAATGCAATACGAACATCCGAGAAGAGTGTGTAGTGTAACACTCGAACAATGTTACTGACGGAATGCGTAGCTCAGTCATCAAAACGGTTACGTTAGCCAGCCCGGGTCATTTGAAGATTGAGTCAAGCACCTATTTTTTGTTGTTGTTGTGTCACGCACCTATATCAGAGGGCCGGGGGACCCGGTACTCACTATCTCACCCAGTCCAGTCCGGTAGCGCACGGGTCCCGGTCGGAGGGAGCCCCGCTCCCGGTACTCACCCAATCCAGTTCGGAAGCGCACGGGGCCCGGTCGTAGGGAGCCCACGTTACCGCGAACGCTGTAAAGGATGCAGTGGCCGTCCACCCAGCTGAAGCTGAGGCAGTCTACTCTTCGGAAGCAGCGCGCCAGACACTCACCTGGTGGACCGGGGGAGGGATGACACAGGGGGTGACACCGTGACACAGAGGGGGTGACACCGTGACACAGAGGGGTGACCCCCGAAACACCGAGGGAACTGACAACTGACAGAGAATCCGGTGGCGGCAGGGCACAACCTCGGACACTATCCATTGAAATCGGAGAGGAAACCAATATCAGCGACTCTACAAATGAATGCGGCGGATTGTATTTTCCAACAGTAATATTCAAAGACATGTTAGACATGCTACAGTTTGTAAGTGTAAATATTACTTATGTTGTTTACACTAATTCCTGCAGGATGCATTTTCTGCATGCTTGCATGATGATCAAATGCGCAGCATAACATATTAGGAAAATGTATTCAATTTCAGACATATTGCATAGGACAATAGCTATTTGATACCGAAGCCCATCGCATATGTAGTTTGTTCGATGTTTGTCCGCACACAGTTTTTGCACCTATTCACCCAGCGTCGCCGGCGGACATGGGACGACAAGCGTCCCTCGTGTCTCGCCATTCACTGGCGCGGGCGGATGGTAACTCGTAGTGATGTCAATTTCAGAAAACATATGTCCAATGTCCGTCCAATGTCCAATACTTACGTCGACTGTCCGTCCAAAAATTTCCAAGCCAGCCATTTGTCCAAAGATGTCCGACATCTACACAATAGTTTACACTCAACACAGTTATTTAATTTGGTTTTAATGTATCGTTACCAGCTCAAAAGTGGTAATCATATCGAAAGCTGAGCTTTCTAATAGCCAATCAATGTTAAACACGATTACTTTATAAACATGTTGAGGTGTAGCAAGCGATTGTCCAAAGTTGTCCAAGGCCTGCTGTCATTGTCCAACCGAATTCCGCATTGGACATTGGACAAAATCGGAATTCCGAAGATTCAAGTTCCGATTGACACCACTAGTAACTCGTATATCTGCCGCTCGCTGTCCACTTTGGGACGGGCGTCAACTCGTATATCTGCCGGTCACTGTCCGCTATTGGACGGGCGTCAACTCGTACCTATATCTGCCGGTCACTGTCCCATTCATTGAGACAACCTGACAAACGTCAGGGTGCCACAGGTCACAGCGTCCGCTGGCCAGTCCGTATCTGCACTCTACAGCGTGCTTGCTGCAGTGATTATATTAACGTTTACGTTTATGTATAGTCGACTACAGAATGATGTTCCACTTTTCACAGGCAATTATTTGCCTGGAGTGGTAGGCTGTGCCGCATCACACGGGCTGAGCTCACAAATTATAGCTTTGTCCCAATGCTCACAATCGACACGCTGAATTGCGTGATAAACGGCACAATTTAGCGCTCAGGTCAACTGAAAGCTTCTGAGGAGAAGAACATCATTCTGTAGTCGACTATACATTTGATGGGCTCACCATCAAGGATGACGACATGGTCCACTGACAGCAACGGTCGATAATTAAAATACTGAGTAGTGCATGATTCCTATCTCACAGTGTGCCGTTTTGTCACACAAATAATTGTTATATAAGCATAAGCGCTAAAACGTATAATGTCAAAATACAAATTGCCCGTTGACAAACAATAAGTAGCCTCTGGGCTCCGAACCCAGAACGTCCTATAAGTCACGTTTCCCATCGCCCAGTTGGGAGCTCTTTGTGATTGATAACGTGACGCTGAGTATGTCTGCGATAGTATGCCCAGATTGATAACGTGACTTTGATTAAGTCTACCATTGTATGTGATTGATGGCGTGACGCAGAGTGAGCCTCCTGTTCAAAAACACAAGCGAGTTGATTTCATAGTGATGACAGTGTTGTGGAAGGTAGTGGAGCGTCTTCGGTAAACATGAGGTCCGTGTGGCCGTGAACAAGGCACGTAGCGCCGTTAATTGGCGATGGCACGGTGGCATTGATAACGGGTGGTCAGTATGAAATTAGACAAAGTTTGAACAGCTAGTGTGCTAAAAGTTTTCAGGCGAAAACAGCGAAAATCGCGTTACCGTGTCTTTATTTTGTTGTGATTACGCTCGGCCTAGTGGATCTGCGACACAGGACCTCTGTCAGTCGCCAGGCGCACGCGCAATAGCAGCCCCGATATCTTTCGCGTCACCTCCGGGTCAATGTGACGGATGACCTGCTGGATTCTCTGCTTCAGCTGTGCGTGTCAGTTGACCTGCCACCTTCCCCTATAAACGTTCTGTTTGATGAGCCCCCACAGATCCTCAGTGGGCCCATTCTGAGGAGTACATACATGGCGGGTTCATCAGTCACGTGCTACTACAGGCACCCAAGCCTCCTCAAGAAGTAAATTAGAAGTTTCGTGGCCTAGTCCGCGTGTTATGGTGGTTGCAAGGTCGGACCAAAGAGGAACTTGGTGCTCTGGCCACCTAGTTTGCATCGAGGTGTATTTACGCACTAAGAAAATACACGCTTTAGAAATGGGTGGTATCATAAGGATCAGAAAGCGTATTATACGCCAGTGGAATGCTTTCGCTTATTTTGGACTTTACCACATCCACTGCTTAACTAGTTAAAAGGACTCTCCTACCTTTAAACAAGTTAATAAATTGGCATTTAAGTGACGTACCATGGCTCAGAAAAATCAAAAATGAATATCTATCATATTTAATCGAAAAGTATTCACTCGTTCTCGAGATACTTTGTTATTTGTCATCCTTTAAGTGCGGCAGATGTTGTGCGCAATGCAGCAAATACTAAGCCGTAATCGCCACGCCATATGTGGAAGGCTTTTGGTGTCAATGCATACATACATACATACATACATACATACATACATACATACATACATACTACAACGTGTTACCAAACGTTTTAGTAAAAAGTTTACAAATCGTTAGATCTGCGCTGACGTCACGCATTCAGAGGGGGCATTAAAATGTATTAGCCCCTCTGAATCCTGCAACTTTGAAATTAAATATTTTCGATTTAACCCTCGCCGGACTTATTGGTTTTCTACATACGCGCCGGCCGAGGGGGGGGGGGGGGCGGGTACGACCCCACCCCCCACCCCCGCCCCGCCGTTTCTCCCCTGGTGGAGCTAGCGCGTCGCGGAAAAAACGAGCGTATGCGCCGTTACGAGACGCATATATTGGTACCCGATTTTATCTTTTAGGTCCTAGGTCAACCGGTGACCTCTGAGGTCAGGGCAAGTGCCCCAAGGTACGGTTCAGTTTTTGGTGAATAACTTCGCAAAAACGGCCACAGAGCCGCGATTATGGCAGCATCGTGTTTGCCTCGCTCAGGCGCGTCGAAAGATATACTTTTTGTGTGGGTGAGGTCAACTTAGGGTGTTGACCTCAGGTCACGGTCAGGTCAGCGCCCCCAGGTCACAAAGTTGGTCGAAAGAGGTCATGGCGCATATCATTCGATTCGACAGGTCTTCCTGAGTCCATTGGTGGCTTTCCCGACTCGCTAGCTCAATTTGATCGGGAGTTATTGACGAAAAAGGAATATGAACTTGATCACGTCATAAATGACGTCACGCAAGGTCAACATTGCAAAAGCGACGCAACTAACCTTGCAAGGAGTGCATCAAATTACGATTCTGTGTGCTTGAGATAGTTGGAGATCGTTCGCGGCGTCAGAATAGCAGTTTTCATTTTTCCCCATTGACTTATACCTAATGGTGAGGTCACGAAAATGACCTGACCTCATATGACCTTTAGGAAGAATCCGAGATATGCAAGTTGTGAGACTCGTAATGGATACTAGATCCTGCAAATTTCATTTCCCTGTGAAAGCTCCTCTGGCAGTGAGGGCGTTGCGAAGTTGCGACATCTGAAGACCGTGCAGAGGTTCACTTATGACGTCATAGGTCAGTGACCTGACCTGACCCGAAAATGTGGTTGGTGTCAAAAGATCCGGCTTGAATCAAAGGTCAGGTATGCCAAGTTTCAGCTCTCTATCTCCAGCGTGTTCGGATCTATCGCGAAAAAACCCTATGGGGGGCGGCACCCGCCCCCCCCCCCCCTCGGCCGGCGAGGGTTAAGGCATTTCTCGATAATGCAAGTGCCGAAACCGGTGATTGTGAGCCAGGGAGCCCAATTTGGCTGTCTCAACTCAAATCTAATGTTAAGGTGAAATGGTCACTTTTATAGCACCATATGGTTAGCATGGTTACGCCCGCAATAATTTTGAGAAACCGCTTGTGCGTTTAAGTGCAACCAAATGCGTGGAAAACCGCGTAGGTCGCATTTTACGCCGCTTTATGAAATATGCCGCAGGAATTGCGCGATCGGAATGTGTGTAGAGGGCGGGGCAAACGTAACAAACTCTGCTTAGAGGGAGGCCCTGACTAGTCGCTGACGCTGTGAATCCTTCGATTCAAAAGGTTGGGACTATATTGATAAAAAAAATCAATGGTCCTTTCTCCTTCCACTCAGAGGCTGGTGGATCCTACGGAGAGCTATCCTGCAACAATTCATTTGTCTCATTCATTTCCTGGTTCGTATTCTGCCCCGGTCTGTGCGTACTCCATGCTCCCCGGTTTGCCCGACCGTTCCTACTTACACTCGTCCCGCGCGGTGACGTTGTCGAGCATTACTCCTGCAGTCCTGCACTACTCCATCCAATACTCCACACTCCCCGGTTTGCCCGTTCCCACTTACACTCGTCCCGGGCCGTGACGCTGTCGAACATTACTCCTGCATTAGCATTACTCCTGCACTACTCCATCCAATACTCCATCCCCCCGGTTTGCCCGGCCCCACTTACACTCGTCCCGCGCGGTGACGTTGTCCAGCAGCTCGTCAGCCGGAACGGCGCCGTGAGCCAGGTGCCAGTGCGCCGAGACCACGGAGAAGCTGGCCGGCGGCGCGTCCCGGTGGGCTGACCCGGGGGTCACCAGAGCAGCCCAGACCAGGGTCACCAGAGAGGCCCCGGCGGCCGGGAGCAGCCGGCCGGGAGACATAGTGTCGCCGCGTCGGTCAGCTCGTCCGTGGGGGGTAGTCGGGAGCTCTGTGACCGGGTGGTGCTGCCGCGCCCGTAAGGTCGACAGTGGGGGGTAGTCGGGAGCTCTGTGACCGAGTGTGGGGAGGCGGGGCGGGGGCGGGCGCATTGGACCGGCAAACACAGCCGCTGCTAGGCAGGAGTTGCTGCGATTGGCGCTGCTCCGACCACACAAACTACAGGTATTTTCTGGATTGCTTTCAGATTGGAATAGGCAGAACTGAATGGGGAAGCCATTCGCTATTTGGCAACGATTCTGCGATCTACAAAAATGACTGGATTCAATTTAAGTCAATTGCGATACAGTCAACCTTCATATTGTATTTATATTGTAGGCAATGATGACCACCTTCCATTTACTATAAAGATCCGCACAATGAGTCTGCTGCTCCTATGCTACTCGGCGTACGGGTCATGCCATTTGTTTCATTGAGCCATTGCACTGATATCAGGCTAATGAACCGCATTGTTCACAAATTGGTCAGCGAATCATTGTCATCAAAGGGTAGCATATGTCGCCACAGCCCCTGATGGGCGCCGTTTGAGAAAACGCACCGCCGCGCAGCACAAACCTGCTGACGATGCTCTGTGATATTTGATAATACCTATACTTGGTAGCTCTGATTGGGACTTTTCGACGAGGGAAAGACTATACCTAGTTCGTTTTTTTTTTCAAAAGGACGCTGGCTCCAAGTATGTTTTTCGAACAAGCACGTGTTTTAGCGAGCAAAACGAGCAAAAACTGAACCTGAGAAAATCGAACGTCGACTATTTTTAACATGTGATTTCTTCCCGATAATTTCCATATAGGGGTTTTGGAACCAGATATGAGAACAGCGGTGACGTCATGCTGTCGAACATGTATTGCAATGTAACTTATGACTATCATGGACGGAACCGCTCACTCGATTATAAGCTCGGCAACAGTGAAAAACTAAGTTTCACCCAAATTCGTTGACACTTGTCCCACTGCACGGACATTTGGGTGCCTGCTGCCACCAGTGACGTCATCATAGTATGTTCATTTTTAAGAAACAATTTTCAGCTACTTACCGTACAAAATTTGAAATCGATTATTTTTTCGGTAAGAAATTCTTGGCCAGACACTGAAGCTGCCAAAACTCACGTGAGAGCTTCGATATTGAACTTTGAGCCAGCGTCCTTTTGAAAAAAAAAACGAACTATAGCGTTCTTTTCCAAAAAAAAAAAAAAAAAAATGAAATGAGAAACCATAAAACAGGCTATTAGCATTCCTAAGACCACGGATGTAGCCCTGCTGAGTTGGTTTGGCGTCTGGAAAGTCACCGATGGGTCCACGCACCAATCTGATGGACCTTGGTCGGCAGTCGGCACCCAACGACGAAAACACCCCTCTCGCGGCCGACCCTTGCCTTCCCGATAACCGGATAGCTCCCCCGTCTGTCCTGTAGCCGTGCGCTCTGTCCCCGACCCTGCCTGCCCTGTCCCCGCACCCTCCCCTCCCCAGCCGACCCGGCGCAAACAGGGGCGGCTCCAGGTCAGGTCACAGGAGCGGTTAGTGTAAGTATTCTGACATCAGCCCCCACACGTAATGGTGACCTAGCCTCTCGGTAGCCCCACCCTAACCTCCCCGGCTGACCTCACCCGGCGGCGCGCCTCCCCGCGGCTGTCCCTGGCGCCGCCCCTGCGCCGGGCTGGCAAACAGCGGGTACCCTCTGCCTGTGTGGCCGCGGGCGATACACCGCCGCGCCGGGGCCGCTGCTGGGGCCGCGGTGCCCCGCACTCGGCCCAGTCGCCGGAGACTAGCCCTGAGGGTCGCACGTGCACACGGAGACAGAGACAGAGACAGAGACGGAGAGAGTTAGAGAGCGGAGCAGCCAGGTCGACGACTGGGTCAGCAGCAGCACGGACGGTGCAAAGGTGGGTCACAGGGGGGTCTGGAAGGGGTGGTTCTGCATGAACTGGCAATGTGGTTTGATTGGATTCATCTTCGTAAATGGAACATGAGATTCGGATCAATAACGAAAATGTTTTTGCTTGGGTGATGTCTGATTAAAATTGTCGTTATAGTTCCCTTAAAAGCGTGCATGCTACGTTTCATTAAAAAAGTTGATACACTGATGAATCTGTTCGGTTTCCAAAACTTCGTATCTAGAGATTTCGGGCATGTCCGTACGCTGCATCTCCACTTCGCATCATTCAGTGCAGGCCAGCAGCTTCAGTGACCATCACGACGATGGATAAATTGCAGCGCCGTTGTGTTGCATGCTCAATGCATCTAGGCTGTCAGTTTCTCCCCATTGACTTGGCCCGCCCTGTGCTATTGTCCCCGCGTCCGGCACGGGACGGCTGAATGCTGAGCTACGTTCCGTCGTCGGTACGCCCGAGAAATCACCGCACCGTATATCAGTTAACCCGCGCCCCACTGGGGTCTGCGTATAACACGCCCTACTGGGGGGGGGGGGGCTATTCATAGCCCCCCCTCCTAACTCCGAAACTACTGGGCCGATCGTCAAAATTCAAACGGCGTCTGATAGCCCCGGAAAAACTGTCGAGCGAAACCTAATTTCATTGACCTCGACGTCACCGATGACGTCACAGGTCAGGTCAAAGTAAAAATTATTAGCATTTTGGCTTGTTCACGTTTTGGGCTCTGGCCGCCGTCTTACAAGTCAGATCAGGCTCATTTTTGGATCACACACTCGGGAATAGATGCTCTAGTTACCCTGAGGGTACCAAACTTGTACTTTGATTTTCAGGTCAAGGTCAGGTCATCACAGGTCATGAAAATATTTTATCATGCGTCGGTCACGTGACACATGTTTTATGGTCCATTTAGGTCAGAGATTTCGAATTTGATGTCGTCTGTGTCATTCGAGGTCATTTTGAGTCGAATTTAGCTTATGTTAGGTCACTTTCAGGTCAAAAAAGGTCAAATTTTGAAGTTAAAATTTTTCAATCAAAAAGGTGTCTATTGGATGCAGCTTGAGCTCAGGAACACGATGGTGCTATTTATATTGGCGTACGATGTCAAATACGTGCTGAAAAATTGATTTGAAAAATTAATAATTGTGAATTTTTTGCAATAATGCGTAAAACTTGGCCATTTTTGAAGATATTTAGCTAAAACTTGCTAGAGTTAGTCATAATAATGCGTTCTATCACATGTATTCCGGTTTTTTCGAAAAGTCAAAAACTTTTTGAAAAAAATGTAAAAGTATAAATTTTGGATATTATTTTATCAAATTTTCAAAATTCTCTAAATTTCGAAAATCCGAGATAGCAGTTTGATAGCGCAGTCTATTCTGAGTCCTCTCATGCAAAGAAATTGGATCTAGCCTAAAAACTGAGCTCTTGGGAGCGATTGCCGTGGTTCAATGTTTTGCGTCGAAATCGGCCGAACATGACGTCACTCTGACGTCATTTCCGGCCGACCTATAGTGGGTACGAAGTTCAAATTTTGACACAAGGTGTCAAATTGATGCAGCCTAAGGTACTGAAAGTTTGGCGTCGATACGTCAAGCGGTTTGGAAGTTATTGCAGAAAAACGGGAGGGGGGGCTATAAATAGCCCCCCCCACTGGGGCGCGGGTTAATGACTACTTAAATGCGTGTACGAAACAGAGCTTAATTCTTACAAGGTTACATTCTCTTTATAGCGAAATAATAACCCGTAGAGCTGAGAATCTTTTCTAGACTTCAGATTAGCCTACAAAGATCTTTTTTTCACAAGTGGTTTGGCTTCAAACATACCTATTACATACATAAACAAGTCTTATCATTCAGTTTAGCAAGCAAAAAGTTCAATGTCGATGAAAACGTTTAAAAAACATTAAATGATTTTAGTTTATTTTCATCAGAAAAGGTGTCATCCACTTTTCATCAGATTATGTGACTTTTGCTTCCTGATAAAATTTGGGCGGGAAATGCTACTTTAAAAATGTGGTTGTGTAATGCGTGATAATTGCTGGCAAATCCATGCGAAACATGTCGGCCATTAAGGACTTAATGCGTGTCAAATCTAATTAAATAATTAAAGTATTGCTCAAACACAGATATGACTACTGAGTATTGACTACATTAACAGTTCTTAAGCATGAAGTCCTCCACATTCGTCGTTCCAGTAGCTGCACCATCTCTGCGCAGGTTCCCGTGTCCGCGGCTGCCGTCGTCCCGTGCCTGTTTGTCAGACCGGACCACACGCCGCTGACGCCGGAACCCTCCTGTGACCCTCCGCCCTGTCCCCCTCCCCCGCGCGTCTCGGGACAAACTATTCATCCCTGTGCGTCCCTCCCCCTGCAGACCCGGCCCGAGTCTGACCCTTCTGTACCCTACCCCTGTCTCTTGCCCCCTCCCCTCTTCCCCGCGCGGCTCGGGATAGAGCACCTGAACCCCTGCGGCCCCCCGTAGCGCGGCGCCGGCCTGACCCGCCTGTGCCCCCTCCCCCTGCCCCCCCCCCCCCTCGCCGCTCAGGACAACCCGACCCCGCGCGCCTCCTCCCCGCCCCCTGTCGCCCCGGCCTGACCCTTCCGCATCCTACCCCTGCCCCCTGTGGTCCCGTCCCATCAGAGGGGTGTTCACGGGCACCGCACACTGCTGCGTGCGGTGTGTGCGGTGCGTCCAGCAGGCGTGGGGGTAGGGGATGGGTAGGCGGCTCTGACGTCACGGCTGCGTGCGGTGGACGGTCCGCTGTGGCCAGTCCCGACCGGCCACAGCGATCGCTGTGTGCGGTGACGGAAGGCTGACGTAGGGACGCAGTGGGCGGAGCTTGGAGGCTGTGTGCGGTCCGTCCGACCGCACACAGGGCCCGTGAACAGCCCTCAGATGTCTCGGTCCGACCCCCCCCCCTCCCCCTCCCGGACATACCGGTGACCCCGGCGACCCCTCCCCTGGGGAGGCATCCCGGGGAACGCGACAGGCCCCTCCCCCTCCGAGGACCGGCACCAAGGCGGCGTGGGATCAAATGGCACCGCCTGGGACCGCTGGCCGCTGGCCGTCCGACCTCTGATCGAAAAGGATGTTTGTCTCGAAAATGGCCGGCAAAAC